TTTTTGTTGACCTTTGTCCATGGAAGGTCCCTGCAAAATTTCATTGAAATTGGTTCAGGGGTTTTGGAGAAGAAGTCGAAAATGTAAATTGTTTACGGACGCACGACGGACGACGGACGACGGACGACGGACGACGAACGCGAAGGACAAAAGGCGATCGCAATAGGTCACTTGAGACTTTGTCTCAGGTGACCTAAAAATCTCCCATAGCAATTACTGTATACCAAGAAATTTTCGCTGCTGTTTTAACTCTCGCCTTTTAACATCCTTTGTAAATTGAAATTTACTATGAAGTTGAAAATAAGTACACAACATGCTATACCTAGTAATAACATGTCAAAGGCAAAATGAACACTATACGAAAACGGGTTCTACCAATGAAAGGCAAAATGAACACTATACGAAAACGGGTTCTACCAATGAAAGGCAAAAATTTGACTGGGCAAAAGTTTCTCAGTATACAGTATTCTTTCATTTTGGTTACATACATCCAGAGTACTTAGATCTTCCTCTTCCAGAGTAACCTCCCCTTTGTGAGTTTTTTTCACGATCGTGTGTTGTTCCTTCATGTGTTCTTTCTCTGTCATCTCGATCATCTCCAGGTTCTATGGACAAAAACTCTGGACTTTACCAGGCAGGTACACATGTGTGGTAATTTACTGTGATATGAAGACTAAAGGATGTATGGTATATTACTGTGACATAGAGACTTAAGGATGTATGCTTCCCTACCGTGACATGGAGACTTAAGGATGTATGTTAACTTACTGCGACATGGAGACTTAAGGATGTATGCTTCCTTACCATGACATGGAGACTTAAGGAAGTATGCTTCCTTACCATGACATGGAGACTTAAGGAAGTATGCTACCTTACTATGAAATGGAGACTTAATGATGTATGTTAACTAATATGACTTACTGTGACATGGAGACTTAAGGATGTATGTTAATTAATATAACTTACTGTGACATGGAGACTTAAGGATGTATGCTACCTTACTGTGACATGGAGACTTAAGGATGCATGCTACCTAACTATTCCATGGAGACTTTTGGATGCATGCTACCTTACTGTGTTAAAGTTTTGAGGTAAATGAATGGAATCTACACTCCTGTGTAATGTGGAAGAGAGAAATCTCTAAGTGAGTGTATTTTTATTTTTTTGGCAAGAGGGCTTGTTCTAGGTTCACGTGTATAACACATTTCTAGATTTCTATTCGAGCCTACACATCTAAATTCCCTACTTACATGTTTAGTTTCGTACTCGCGCCACATGGCCAGCTCCCTCGAGGCCAGTTCTTCGGCAGTCATTCGCACAAGTCGGTGCGGCTTAATGGTTCCCGACAACACTTTCCTAAATAAACCCTGCATTTAAAACAGAACTTTACACAACTAACAACAAATATTGAAAACAACAATAAATTGAACACATCGGTAAGATGACCGAAATTATTAACAGATAACTATGTTGACACGAAACTTCGAATATTAGGCTTTTGTTCTATAAGCCTTGTATAGTTTGACATTCTAGAGTGAAGAATATTCGTTTGACTTTGGTAAGGGACTTCACTCCTGATGTTGCGTTCAGCAGTGTACAACTTTGAAGAAGAACTCTTACCTGATTTTTGGAGTCCTTCAGGTTGAAGATTAGGCTGCGGTATTTGGCCTTATACTTGGTGTTGGTATCCTTGAAACACTTGTAGAGTTCCCCCTCGACACTCAACGCTAGTGACTTTATCTCGCTGTTGGACAGCATCATGTCGTCCGCCTTGCCAGCCCTGTTAATTAAAAAGAATTTACAATATACACAAATAATGATTTGCTCAGTGCTATACACTGAATTCTGCTTAATACTGTAAATCAGGAAAAATTTTGCCCTTTGCTGTTGAAATCCATTCTTGTCCAGTATTAATTTTGTCCTTCGCATTTAATAACTATATACATAATACTGTTTACTTATATTGGCCGTTATGATAAATTCGCCTTCATTACGGAGAACCTAACAGGTGAAAGTTAAACTGCCGCGAAAATTTCCCTGTACAAATTCACTTCAAATTTTTGTTCGAGGAAAATGATATTCTGTGGAACATGAAATTAGCAGATGATATGTTTTTCTGGCATTATTCAACTGTGAAAATTCGGTAGTGACCTTTGCCCGATGCCAAAGTTTAGGTCTTCTATTATTTTGGACCTGCTAGGAATCGTCGACTAAATGTTCCATCCTTTTCTGGTCAAATCATGGTAATTTCGTACGACTTGAATAAACACCTCGCATCCCTAAGAAAAACTCTTTTATTTTCAGATCTCCTGATGTTGATTCAAACGGTTTAACATGTGTGAAGGTGTCTCTAAACTTTTTTCTTAATGTTGAGTCTGGCATGATGTTTAGCCTTGCAAACATTCCTGAGATATTTCCTAACGCTGAGTCAGATTGAATATTTGCTTTAGTGTGCCCCTAAGCGATTTCCTAAAGCCGAGACTGGTTGGATAGCATAAGATAGTCCCTTAATGTTGAGTTTGACAGGATGTTTAGCAGGAGGCGAGTGTATATCTCAGAAATTTCCAGATGCTGAGTCTAACCTGATATCTACCTGTTTTTCTCACCAGTTTCCTGATGCATGATACAGGAAATTTGGGTGATGGGGTTGCACATTGGATAATGCACTTGCCTTTCATCAAGGCAGCTGGGTTGCGATTCCTCAATTGGACATGAAAAAGATTGGGGTCATCTGCCCAACCACATGGGTTTTCTACGGTTTCCTCCCACATTAAGACCCTCTGCATGCTTCCATCCAGGTATAAGTGGTAAATGTATTAAAGTTATAAAACGTTTTCACATTTGTTGTGAAATAAATAAAGACTAAGCTTATTTTTTATAAACAGGATATTTACCTATGTGTGAGGGCATCTGAGAGATTTCCTGACATTAAGTTTGACAGGATATTTACCTGTGTGTGAGGGCATCTCTGAAAGATTTCCTGACATTAAGTCGGACAGGATATTTACGTGTGTGTGAGGGCATCTCTGAGAGATTTCCTGACATTAAGTTTAACAGGATATTTACCTGTGTGTGAGGGCATCTGAGAGATTTTCAGACATTAACCTTGACAGGTTATTTACCTGTGTGTGAGGGCATCTGAGAGATTTCCTGACATTAAGTCTGACAGGATATTTACCTGTGTGTGAGGGCATCTCTGAGAGATTTCCTGACATTAAGTTTAACAGGATATTTACCTATGTGTGAGGGCATCTCTGAGAGATTTCCTGACATTAAGTTTGACAGGATATTTACCTGTGTGTAAGGGCATCTCTGAGAGATTTTCAGACATTAAGCTTAACAGGATATTTACCTGTGTGTGAGGGCATCTGAGAGATTTTCAGACATTAAGCTTGACAGAATATTTACCTGTGTGTAAGGGCATCTGAGAGATTTCCTGACATTAAGTCTGACAGGATATTTACTTGTGTGTGAGGGTTTACCTGTGTGTGAGGGCATCTCTGAGAGATTTCCTGACATTAAGTCTGACAGGATCGGGACCATCATCTGCCTTTTTCACCTCCTTGCTCTCCTCTGACTTCAGTTTCTCTTTCTCTGGGACATGCCTCTCACGCTCCTTTTGCTTCTCCTTCTCCTTGTCTGTGACACAAATAAGTCCATTCATTTAATCATTTCTAAGTTTTTATTCTACAGAGCTGGCCCTTCGATCATGAAACAATCTTCGACAAAATATTTGCTTAGCCATTACTTATAACAACACTTTTCAAAAAGATACATAAGTTCAGACGATTTTGAACCTAAGTTCGTCTCATGATCCTGGAGCCTGATCTTAAAATATATGTCATTATTGTCTATAAATCAAAATCTCCAATTGCTCATGGCTAATATTTTTTGCTTAATCGCAAATATGATTATTTCCAATAAAGGTTTCAACAGTGGGTCAATTCTTATGCCAATGACTTCTTTATAATGGGACATAAGATCAATGGTACTGTTGGGCTTTTTTTTTGCATGATAATTTTAAAGTCTGTTTACAACCATTTTAACAGTTTCTGTTCACAACCATTTTAATAGTTTCTGTTCACAACCATTTTAATAGTTTCTATCAGATAAGTCATTGAATTATGGAGAAGTTGTTCAGGTAGGTTGGCTGTAATTGTAACAAATCATGAAAAACTTTGGTATGTGGAGTTTTCTGAGTTTTTTAAGGAAAAATCAGGATTTTAACTTCTTCAGATATCAGTTTATCATATTTTTTACCACTGTATCATCTATTTGATTCTAAAGACATCAATCTATCAGAAGATAAATACTTCATTCAGATCTTCTTTGTTCTGTTTCTTTAACTCTTTTACCCCTGAAGACACATTTGAACTCTTCCAATTCAAAGGTTGGAATAGTTCATTATGAAATTTCAGGGGTGAAAGAGTTAAATATTCCCTGTGCTTACTTCCATAGAATGAAGTGGGTTTCTTTGTGGGACAGAGGATTTCAAATGACCGATGACTCTCCAGCCATATCTTGAGATTGGCCTCGGTCGGAGCATTTTGACCAGTCAATAATCGTCCGGTCTTTTTCTCTAGGACATACACCTTCCTCTCTGACTTGTCTTTCAACTGAAATATTAAAAATTAGTTTATGAAAAGGAAGAACTTCTTGTTCAAAGCAAAGAACAAATACAGAATATAACAGGAAATAATTACACTTCCATATAAATATTACACTTCCCAACAACAAATCTGGAAAATATCGTAGGTGTATCATGACCTACCAAAATATAAGATGTATCGTACCCTATTCAAAATATCGCAATATATTGTTGCACGATATATCGTTGCAGCCCTACAGCACATTGTTTAGACCATTCCAAATTTTGTCGAGAAATAGTCACCTAGACTAGGGTCCGTATCCATGAAGCCATTCTCATGCTCAAGCCTAATTACTTGTTCCTATTATAAATCGGTAAAACAAATCATACTTTGTCAACGATTCAGAAAAAAAATTAAGAGACTTACAGCTGAATGCTGTTTTCAATGTTAAAATTTGACTTTTTGGTTGTTTGACATGATTCGAGCGAGTTAAAAAAAAGCTGTTCTGAGCCCAGAATCCATGCTTGAGCATGAGAACGGTTTCGTGCATACGGGCCCTGGTCCTTTTTCAAATGAAAAGTTGACCGATTCAAAACAGATGCTGTGAACAGTTAGTTTCTATGGTGATGCAATAAGGTATTTGAAAACTGTTTAAGTCATTACTCACCTTGATGCCCTGCTCCTCCTGGTCCTTGTGTATGATTTTGAGTGATTCGTCGGTGTGTTTGATGATACAGTCTGTACAACAGTACACTGTCCCGTACACTGCATCCTTTTTACAGCCTGGCCCAACACATTTCTGCAGTGTTCTCTTCTCCTGATAAAACAATACCAGATACAGCCACTATTATAGTTTTTCAGCAAATGTTACTCGTAAAAGCCTCTTGATATATACAGGTGTCACTGTTAATACTCTCAGATACTAGAGAAGGGCATACAGGTGTCATTGTTGATACTCTCAGATAATAGGGAAGGGCATACAGGTGTCACCGTTGATACTCTCAGACGCTAGAGAAGGGCATACAGGGGTCACTGTTAATACTCTCAGATAATAGGGAAGGGCATACAGGTGTCAGTGTTAATACTCCCAGATACTAGAGAAGGGTATACAGGTGTCACTGTTGATACACTCAGATACTAGCGAAGGGCATACAGGTGTCAATGTTGATACTCTCAGATAATAGAGAAGGGCATACAGCTGTCACTGTTAATCCTCTCAGCTAATAGAGAAGGGCATACAGGCGTCACTGTTAATACTCTCAGATAATAGGGAAGGGCATACAGGTGTCAATGTTGATACTCTCAGATTCTAGAGAAGGGCATACAGGGGTCACTGTTAATACTCTCAGATACTAGAGGAGGGCATACAGGTGTCACCGTTGATACTCTCAGACGCTAGAGAAGGGCATACAGGAGTCACTGTTAATACTCTCAGATTCTAGAGGATGGCATACAGGTGTCACTGATGATACTCTCAGATACTAGAGGAGGGCATACAGGTGTCACCGTTGATACTCTCAGACGCTAGAGAAGGGCATACAGCTGTCACTGTTAATCCTCTCAGCTAATAGAGAAGGGCATACAGCTGTCACTGTTAATCCTCTCAGCTAATAGAGAAGGGCATACAGGAGTCACTGTTAATACTCTCAGATACTAGAGGAGGGCATACAGGTGTCATTGTTGATACTCTCAGATTCTAGAGAAGGGCATACAGCTGTCACTGTTAATCCTCTCAGCTAATAGAGAAGGGCATACAGGGGTCACTGTTAATACTCTCAGATTCTAGAGAAGGGCATACAGGTCTCACTGTTAATACACTCAGATACTAGAGAAGGGCATACAGGTGTCACTGTTAATACTCAGATACTAGAGAAGGGCAATCGGTTTAAAATCTTCATTAATAGTTAATTTGTTATTGGAAGTGGTCAACAGTATATAATTTTATGGGACTGAATAATAAATAAAGCGAAAACATTATTTTTACATCAATAGACAGAGTTGTTAATTAAACATGAGGTTTTGTTTTTTATAAAGAATGGTTTTCTAGCAACTTTCATGTAATTTTGGTATTTTTTCTATATTACCATCAATAATATAAAACTATCATAAGAATATATGAGTTTCAGTGTATAGTTTACACCGTATACATTTGACCCCTGAGTTCATTAAAGAACCAATTATATCAATTATGGATTTTGTAATCAATAATCAGACACTGACAGGAGGCCAACCTATACATTTTCAATTACCATCAATCATCCACCCATCACTATTTTCAATTACAATCAATCATCCGCCCATCACTATTTTCAATTACAATCAACCATCCGCCCATCACTAGTAAATCTATCGGAGAGCAAGAGATGATGGTTGTTATACATCGGAGAGCTAGCAATATCAGATATTCTGAGGTTATATAAATATGACCATTTCTGTATATCAACTTGAAACCTAATATGGTTCGATATGGGGTAGAATGTATGGCAATGGTCATTTCATAACCTTTTTATCATATACTATATACTGTTAATATTTCAGAAACATATCACAAACATATTTTCAGTAATAAAACAAAAAGTGTTATTGAGGCATGGTCTAAGTGTAGGACTGAACGTTACACGAATATATGGCACATACCATCCTCGATACTACAGGGGTTACGCTCACTTATGCTCTGTACACCCCTGGAATATGTCATAGCAAAATGGAAGGTTCTGTATGTGGCATCTTGTGGATGATACAAATGGACTAGTTTGATCCTTTGATGTACATCAAAAGAATCATGCAGCAGCATAATGGTAAAATTGACTGGCTTTGAAGTCAGATGTTGCTCCTTTGTAATCTTCAAAGGGCAGGTATTAGCCTGGCGATTGGTCAGTTGTTTTTTACCCAAGACCGATCAAATAGCTATCTTTGTGCCTTCAATTTTGCCATGACACATTCCAGGGGTGCAGAGAATGAAAGTGGGTGTACCGCCTGGAATATTGAAAATTTGATACAGGTAACAGAAGCCCCATGATGATGTTAAATATTGGTTAAAATCCTGAGGAATTTCCTGTGTCAGGTATAAACAATCTTACCTTGATGTTTTTCAGATTTTTGTCTCCTACCCCTCCAGAGGACAGCCTCCTGCGTACGTCACCATGGGGACCAAGTCTGTCTGGAGAACGGACATCTGGAGACTTCACACCCGGGGATTTTACAAGTGGACTTTTAACACTATCACCTACAGAGCTCTTTCGACTCAAGTCAAGTTTATGCGAGTCTGAAGACTTTTGCCCCGAGTGATGCAAATGACTCGAGTCACGTTTTTGAGAGTCTGAAGATTTATGTCCTGAGTGATGGCCATGCTTGTGTTTTCTGTCGTCATGGTGACCAGATGTTGAAGAACGCCTGTCGCCGGGTTTTCCATCTGACGAGTGTCTTCTGTGATCTGAGCTGTGATGCCTGTCATGATGTCGCCCGTGAGATCTGTCATCCGTAGACTTCCTCTCGGAATGAGATTTATCCTGAAAGAATGTATAAAACACACTTACAGTACAAAAAGCTTATAACTTTATATTTGCAGGATTCCTGTCTCACTGCATTGTGTTTTTCCTGTTTACAGAAACCTCCCCTTAACTTTTGTTTGAATATAACCGTAGAACAGTTGCCCAAGCCACTTTTGTTAACCAGGTAGCTCAATCCGTTGATATTGATAGTTTATCAATCTGAGGTCCAGGGTTCAATTCCCAGTCTAGCCTCGCTAATGTTTTTCACATTCAAAAACTATTGATTATATTTTGTAATTATCCATCTTTATTATTTCTCATAAAAGTCCTGCGAGGTATTGTTATCTTTTCAGAAATGATTTATCAAAGCAATAGTTTTGCCAGAAAAAACAGTGTCCTTTACTTAAATGCAGTTTTTCGTAGTGTACGGGTATTCTTTATACATCCTGATATTTCTGCTCAACCTCCCGAGGTATGAGGATTTCTGTAACTTTAACCCCCTTCCACCCCAAAAATACTATGTGGGACCCTTAAACCCTGGTAAAAGACCCCAAAATCTACTCAGGTGAAGAACTTATGTTATCATACTATACCATAAACTTAATCTATTTAACTTATTCATCCCTGAAGACACATTTGAACTCCTCCAATTGAAAGGTTGGTATAGTTCATTATGAAATTTCAAGGTTGAATGAGTTAAGGGTACATGAGATGTCTTGAATACAAATTTTGTACCGTGGATGGATTCGCCATACATGCACTGAAATGCCTCCCTAACTAAGTGGGGAGAAGTTAAAAAAATCAATGACTTACCCCAACTTTTTTTCCGTCTTTGGATGAAGAGCGATGCCTGTGTTCACCACTGTGGTGAGACTCCTTTGATAGAACTGACTTCTCTCCCTTGACTGAGGAACTCTCAGCTGTTTTTGCTTTTTTCGGTATTCTGGGAAGTGTATTTTCCTTTTTAACTCCCTCCTCTTTTGATTTGCTTGTAGATGGAATAACTTTTTTAGGCTCTGAAGGTTTCTTTCCTGGTAACATATGTTTTAACTTTGGACCTTTGTATTCACCTGCAGAGTCAATTGGAGAATGCAGTAAACACTGGAGTAATGTTTGAACATTCTAAATATGAATTTACATATGGAATCCTTTTACATATTACACATTATTTTAATCATCAGCATATCAGTATATCTAAGATGTATTTATTTTACAACAATTATGAACGTAAATTTTCAAACTTGTATATTAAGCATTCCTGTTGGCCCAGATGGAAACTCGTACAGGGTCATGATGCTGGAGGAATCCAGGGGTCTGTTATGTGGAACAACCGGTTTGTCCGTTTTTAAATGTAACAAGTTCGGGTATTAATCCTGGCGGACCTGCATAAACATTTGCAGGTCCGCCAGGAATGGGCGGTTCCAACTGTTTAAACGAAAACGGACCTGAATACCTGGAGATAACTCCAGCTGTCGGGCAAGTGTCACGCCTGATCACAGAAACAAAACCGTGGCTGACCTGGTGAAAGTCGAGTGTGCTTTCCACTGCACCACCCCAACCACCAGGAAATTTTGCTACACCAGTTATGATTTTCTTGGATCCAAAGTGCTTGTGCAAGGAGGGTGTTACTCTGCCTAGTACTTAGAGCTTGGTTTTTCATGTTCTTACGATTTAGACTTAAAGATATTTACTTTACATCATTCACCCCTTAATTTCCATAATGAACTATTCCAAGCTTTAAATTGGAAGAGTTTAAATGTGTCTTCAGGGGTGAATGAGTTATTCTTCCACCCTTCACAGGTGGGCGATGGCCTCGTGACGATTATCACGTGTTCAATTGTGACGTCATTAAAATGCATCGCTGGTAATTGTGATGTCATCAAAAGTGAACGACGATATTCGTACCCCACATTTGTTTTTGTTTACACTATTTTCGGTGGAGTTGTGACTGAAATAATAGGATGGGAGAAAAATAATCATCCCCTACCTCGAGGGTGCAACAGAGAAATCTCCAACCCTCGGGGTGATGTTTTTTGGTTGTCAAACCCGGGGAGGGTTGGAGATTTATCTTTCACACCTTCTGGGTATGGGAAGATTCTATTAATCCTACATACCTGTACAGAGAGGACAAGTGTATTCCTTCTGATATTTCTAACTTACCGGTACAAACAGGACAGATGTACTGCTCCTTGTTTTGCTCCATTTCCTTGTTGCGAGCCTTGGTCATGTTTACACAGCTCCCGTGGAACCAGTCCTCGCACTTGTCACAACAGATCATGAACCTGGACAAATGCAAGTCAAGCACATATTTATTACTTCAGATTGGGCAAACACATAAGGAATGGAAAGAACACAGGGCTTTCAATAGACCGGCCTCGAGAGCATGTTTTGACTCCCTAACATGACAAGGACTGGGCCCGTATTCATGAAACCATTCTCATGCTCAAGCATGGATTCTGTGCTCAAACCTACTTTTTTTGTAACTCTCTTTGATCACGTCAAACGATCAGAAAGTTTTCAAATGTTAACATTGAAAACTCTATTTGGCTGCAAGTCTCTTCAAAATGTTTCCAAGTCACTGACAAAATAAGATTTTTATTTATTAAGTTATATAACCAGAACAAGAAATTAGGCTTGAGCACAAAATCCATACTTGAGCATGAGAATGGTTGCATGAATATGGGCCCTGTTCTATCTGATTGGTTTTGACACTCCCAAAATTCAGGGAAACTACTGCGTACTGGAAAATTTTCGCCCAGTCAATCTGTCGCCCTTCTCCAATGGAATAAATTCTTGCCCAGTGTTGATTTCACCCTTTACGTTTAATTACTATGATTATAATGTTGTTTACTTATAATTTGCTGTAATGATAAAGTCGCCCTCATTAAAGATGATGAAAAAGGTGAAAAATTTGTAAACTGCAGCAAAAAATTCCCGGTATGCAGTATTGGACTTTCGACAATTGTAAACATCAAAAGTCAACTGAAAGCCCGTGAACATGCATTTCATGATAAGGTGGCATATATCCTTTCTTCTACGGAACTAAAATTAGACTTCATGAAAAAAAGAGTATTCAAAATATACAAGTTAACAATAACAAGAGGCCAAATGGGCATGAATCGCTCACCTGGTATTAATCCCACACTTGTAACCTTAAAAGTGATCTTAACAAAAGCTACAGGCAAAATGTCAGTATTTATGACTAAGTCATTTAAAAGAACCAGTTAAAATATTTTAAAACATTTGACCCCTGTGACTTTGAAAATCGAACAAGATCATTACATTGACCAAACTGTATAGCCCTTCATATCAGCATGCAACTTGCAAAAATATCACCACCCTAGACCTTTTGTTGATTGAGATTAGGTCATGAAAAGTTTATACATATTTGACCAAATGTGACCTTGAAAGAAGGTCAAGGTCATTCAAATGACTTGATAGGCCTTCATCCGAGCATGCTTCTGGCCAAATTGCAACATTCTATGAGTCGTTTAAAGATTCTAAGCAAATTTGACCCCTGTGACCTTGAATATAAGTGAAGATCATTCATTTGAACAAACTTGGTAACCATTAATCCCAGCATGTTACTGGCCAAATATCATCACCCTATGCCTCTTTATTATTCAGAAGAATTTGTTTTAAAAGATTTTAAACATATTTGACCCATATGACTTTGAATATAAGTCAAGGCAATTTATTTGAACAAACTTAATAGCCTTTCATCCCAGCATGTTACTGGCCAAATACAATCACCCTAGGCCTCTTGGTCATCCAGAAGTTGTTTAAAAATTCTAAGCAAATTTGACCCCTGTGACCTTGAATACAAGTGAAGGTCATTCATTTTAACAAACTTGGTAGCCCTTTATCATAGCAAGATACTGGCCAGATATCAACTTTCTAGGCCTTATCGCTATTCAGAAGAAGTCTTTGAAGTTTTAAACATATTTGATGCCCGTGACCTTGATTAAAAGTCAAGGTCATTCATTTGAACAAACTTAGCAACCTTTCATCCCAGCACGTTACTGGCCAGATATTATCATCCTGGGCCTTTTGGTTATTCAGAAGAAGTCGTTTAATGATTTTGAACATATTTGACCCCTGCAACCTTTAATATATAATTCAAAGTCAGACATCCTAGCATACTACTGGCCTGATATCATCACCCTGAGCTTTTTGGTTATTCAGCAGAAATCGTTTAAATATTTTAAACATATTTGTACCCTGTGACCTTGAAAATGGAAGAAGGTCATTCATTTGAACAAACTTGGTAGTCATTTATCAAAGCAAGTTACTGACCAAATATCATCGCCCTAGGCCTCCTGGTTATTCAGAAGAGGTTGTTTAAAGGTTTCAAACATATTTGACCCCTGTGACCTTGAATATAAGTGAAGGTCATTTATTTGAAAAAACTTGGTAGCCCTTTATCATAGCAAGATACTGGCCAGATATCAACTTTCTAGGCCTTATCGCTATTCAGAAGAAGTCTTTGAAGTTTTAAACATATTTGATGCCCGTGACCTTGATTATAAGTCAAGGTCATTCATTTGAACAAACTTAGCAACCTTTCATCCCAGCACGTTACTGGCCAGATATTATCATCCTGGGCCTTTTGGTTATTCAGAAGAAGTCGTTTAATGATTTTGAACATATTTGACCCCTGCAACCTTTAATATATAATTCAAAGTCAGACATCCTAGCATACTACTGGCCTGATATCATCACCCTGAGCTTTTTGGTTATTCAGCAGAAATCGTTTAAATATTTTAAACATATTTGTACCCTGTGACCTTGAAAATGGAAGAAGGTCATTCATTTGAACAAACTTGGTAGTCATTTATCAAAGCAAGTTACTGACCAAATATCATCGCCCTAGGCCTCCTGGTTATTCAGAAGAGGTTGTTTAAAGGTTTCAAACATATTTGACCCCTGTGACCTTGAATATAAGTGAAGGTCATTTATTTGAAAAAACTTGGTAGCCCTTTATCATAGCAAGATACTGGCCAGATATCAACTTTCTAGGCCTTATCGCTATTCAGAAGAAGTCTTTGAAGTTTTAAACATATTTGATGCCCGTGACCTTGATTATAAGTCAAGGTCATTCATTTGAACAAACTTAGCAACCTTTCATCCCAGCACGTTACTGGCCAGATATTATCATCCTGGGCCTTTTGGTTATTCAGAAGAAGTCGTTTAATGATTTTGAACATATTTGACCCCTGCAACCTTTAATATATAATTCAAAGTCAGACATCCTAGCATACTACTGGCCTGATATCATCACCCTGAGCTTTTTGGTTATTCAGCAGAAATCGTTTAAATATTTTAAACATATTTGTACCCTGTGACCTTGAAAATGGAAGAAGGTCATTCATTTGAACAAACTTGGTAGTCATTTATCAAAGCAAGTTACTGACCAAATATCATCGCCCTAGGCCTCCTGGTTATTCAGAAGAGGTTGTTTAAAGGTTTCAAACATATTTGACCCCTGTGACCTTGAATATAAGTGAAGGTCATTTATTTGAAAAAACTTGGTAGCCCTTTATCATAGCAAGATACTGGCCAGATATCAACTTTCTAGGCCTTATCGCTATTCAGAAGAAGTCTTTGAAGTTTTAAACATATTTGATGCCCGTGACCTTGATTATAAGTCAAGGTCATTCATTTGAACAAACTTAGCAACCTTTCATCCCAGCACGTTACTGGCCAGATATTATCATCCTGGGCCTTTTGGTTATTCAGAAGAAGTCGTTTAATGATTTTGAACATATTTGACCCCTGCAACCTTTAATATATAATTCAAAGTCAGACATCCTAGCATACTACTGGCCTGATATCATCACCCTGAGCTTTTTGGTTATTCAGCAGAAATCGTTTAAATATTTTAAACATATTTGTACCCTGTGACCTTGAAAATGGAAGAAGGTCATTCATTTGAACAAACTTGGTAGTCATTTATCAAAGCAAGTTACTGACCAAATATCATCGCCCTAGGCCTCCTGGTTATTCAGAAGAGGTTGTTTAAAGGTTTCAAACATATTTGACCCCTGTGACCTTGAATATAAGTGAAGGTCATTTATTTGAAAAAACTTGGTAGCCCTTTATCATAGCAAGATACTGGCCAGATATCAACTTTCTAGGCCTTATCGCTATTCAGAAGAAGTCTTTGAAGTTTTAAACATATTTGATGCCCGTGACCTTGATTATAAGTCAAGGTCATTCATTTGAACAAACTTAGCAACCTTTCATCCCAGCACGTTACTGGCCAGATATTATCATCCTGGGCCTTTTGGTTATTCAGAAGAAGTCGTTTAATGATTTTGAACATATTTGACCCCTGCAACCTTTAATATATAATTCAAAGTCAGACATCCTAGCATACTACTGGCCTGATATCATCACCCTGAGCTTTTTGGTTATTCAGCAGAAATCGTTTAAATATTTTAAACATATTTGTACCCTGTGACCTTGAAAATGGAAGAAGGTCATTCATTTGAACAAACTTGGTAGTCATTTATCAAAGCAAGTTACTGACCAAATATCATCGCCCTAGGCCTCCTGGTTATTCAGAAGAGGTTGTTTAAAGGTTTCAAACATATTTGACCCCTGTGACCTTGAATATAAGTGAAGGTCATTTATTTGAAAAAACTTGGTAGCCCTTTATCATAGCAAGATACTGGCCAGATATCAACTTTCTAGGCCTTATCGCTATTCAGAAGAAGTCTTTGAAGTTTTAAACATATTTGATGCCCGTGACCTTGATTATAAGTCAAGGTCATTCATTTGAACAAACTTAGCAACCTTTCATCCCAGCACGTTACTGGCCAGATATTATCATCCTGGGCCTTTTGGTTATTCAGAAGAAGTCGTTTAATGATTTTGAACATATTTGACCCCTGCAACCTTTAATATATAATTCAAAGTCAGACATCCTAGCATACTACTGGCCTGATATCATCACCCTGAGCTTTTTGGTTATTCAGCAGAAATCGTTTAAATATTTTAAACATATTTGTACCCTGTGACCTTGAAAATGGAAGAAGGTCATTCATTTGAACAAACTTGGTAGTCATTTATCAAAGCAAGTTACTGACCAAATATCATCGCCCTAGGCCTCCTGGTTATTCAGAAGAGGTTGTTTAAAGGTTTCAAACATATTTGACCCCTGTGACCTTGAATATAAGTGAAGGTCATTTATTTGAAAAAACTTGGTAGCCCTTTATCATAGCAAGATACTGGCCAGATATCAACTTTCTAGGCCTTATCGCTATTCAGAAGAAGTCTTTGAAGTTTTAAACATATTTGATGCCCGTGACCTTGATTATAAGTCAAGGTCATTCATTTGAACAAACTTAGCAACCTTTCATCCCAGCACGTTACTGGCCAGATATTATCATCCTGGGCCTTTTGGTTATTCAGAAGAAGTCGTTTAATGATTTTGAACATATTTGACCCCTGCAACCTTTAATATATAATTCAAAGTCAGACATCCTAGCATACTACTGGCCTGATATCATCACCCTGAGCTTTTTGGTTATTCAGCAGAAATCGTTTAAATATTTTAAACATATTTGTACCCTGTGACCTTGAAAATGGAAGAAGGTCATTCATTTGAACAAACTTGGTAGTCATTTATCAAAGCAAGTTACTGACCAAATATCATCGCCCTAGGCCTCCTGGTTATTCAGAAGAGGTTGTTTAAAGGTTTCAAACATATTTGACCCCTGTGACCTTGAATATAAGTGAAGGTCATTTATTTGAAAAAACTTGGTAGCCCTTTATCATAGCAAGATACTGGCCAGATATCAACTTTCTAGGCCTTATCGCTATTCAGAAGAAGTCTTTGAAGTTTTAAACATATTTGATGCCCGTGACCTTGATTATAAGTCAAGGTCATTCATTTGAACAAACTTAGCAACCTTTCATCCCAGCACGTTACTGGCCAGATATTATCATCCTGGGCCTTTTGGTTATTCAGAAGAAGTCGTTTAATGATTTTGAACATATTTGACCCCTGCAACCTTTAATATATAATTCAAAGTCAGACATCCTAGCATACTACTGGCCTGATATCATCACCCTGAGCTTTTTGGTTATTCAGCAGAAATCGTTTAAATATTTTAAACATATTTGTACCCTGTGACCTTGAAAATGGAAGAAGGTCATTCATTTGAACAAACTTGGTAGTCATTTATCAAAGCAAGTTACTGACCAAATATCATCGCCCTAGGCCTCCTGGTTATTCAGAAGAGGTTGTTTAAAGGTTTCAAACATATTTGACCCCTGTGACCTTGAATATAAGTGAAGGTCATTTATTTGAAAAAACTTGGTAGCCCTTTATCATAGCAAGATACTGGCCAGATATCAACTTTCTAGGCCTTATCGCTATTCAGAAGAAGTCTTTGAAGTTTTAAACATATTTGATGCCCGTGACCTTGATTATAAGTCAAGGTCATTCATTTGAACAAACTTAGCAACCTTTCATCCCAGCACGTTACTGGCCAGATATTATCATCCTGGGCCTTTTGGTTATTCAGAAGAAGTCGTTTAATGATTTTGAACATATTTGACCCCTGCAACCTTTAATATATAATTCAAAGTCAGACATCCTAGCATACTACTGGCCTGATATCATCACCCTGAGCTTTTTGGTTATTCAGCAGAAATCGTTTAAATATTTTAAACATATTTGTACCCTGTGACCTTGAAAATGGAAGAAGGTCATTCATTTGAACAAACTTGGTAGTTATTTATCAAAGCAAGTTACTGACCAAATATCATCGCCCTAGGCCTCCTGGTTATTCAGAAGAGGTTGTTTAAAGGTTTCAAACATATTTGACCCCTGTGACCTTGAATATAAGTGAAGGTCATTTATTTGAAAAAACTTGGTAACGATTAATCGCAGCATGTTACTGGCCATATATCATCACCCTATTTTGGTTACTGAGAAGAAGTTGTCTAAAGTATAAAGTTGATGCGGGACAGACAGACAACGGACGCCGCACCATGGCATAAGCTCACTTGCCCACCGGGCATACAGGCAACACCCATGAAAACTTAACCAGGGTGGCATTCCCATGACTCCATGTGTTCCGATAGATATTATTGTGAAAATTACCAGGAATTTACAGGTTTAAAATGTTATTGGTTACCCTCATGGTCATGGAATTTAACAGAAGCATCTTTGTCAGTTACAACATCAAACCAACACTACCGCGGGGCGGAACAATATACGCCTTTCGAATGCCATATAGTGTTATATACTTTCTTACATTGAAATAAGATCTGCATCATTCTAAGAGTGGTTAGCTGACATGCTATAAAAAATGTAGGCAAAAATCTCCAGACAAAAAATCAAATACTGAAATGAACAAAAGGCAATAACTTTTGCAATAATTGTTGAATCAAAATTCTTTTCAAGGAAACACAACAACATATCATGATTATTTAGCCTACTAAGTTTTAAAGAAAATGTAGGAGGAGATCTCCGGACAAATAATCAAATACCGAAATGAACAAAGGGCAATAACTTTTGAAAAAATTGTTGAATCAAATTTCTTTTTAAGGGAGATACAGCTTCATATCATGATTATAATGTATACCAAGTTTCAAAGAGATCGGTCGAAAAAATGTAGGAGATTACCGGACAAACAAAAGATTACGAAGGACGGACGACGCCATACCATAATACTCCTGTCAAATTTGACAGGGGTATAAAAAGTCATTAGCCTCAGGCTAGTAAGCCTCTAAATTTCACTAGCCCAAGCTCAAAATCTTGTAGCCCCAGGCTGGTGGATTTTTACAATCCTGCCATTGGTAATAACAGAGAAAGAAATTTAATTTTATACAAAACTTTTTGTCACTACCCGACTTATTGATTCATAATTATATAAACATCATGGGGAATAACTTCATAGACTACTAGACCTACAGTGTTTTTCCTTGTGATTGTTTATTGGTCTACCATTATGATGTAACACTGAATCGGTTGACCTGGCTCTCACCTGTTGCCATGGGGCTGGTTACAGATGCAGTACAGCTGGTCGGGAGGTTCGTAGTCAGAGTCGTTCTCATCATCCTCGTAACTCAGGTCGTTGTTATCTTCTGTAACACAGAGTCAGCTCTTTACATAGCTGTTCTATTTAAGGTGTTAATTGGGGTGCCGTGCCTGTCATTCCTCTACAGTATTTTTCATCAGTGGTTAGTAGCTATATAGGAGACTAATTTCTCTCATTTCCATGTGTGTAAGATAGAGCTGTTCAGGGTAAGAAAGGGGTGTCAGAAATTTCTATCTTACATCCCATTTCATGTGACGTGACGTCACAATGGCTCAACTATGACATGACGTCACAAATTCCGATGCCGCAATGCGAAAAAGGCGACGTAATAAAATTAAAACCTCTTATGATATCCACCATACACGTAAGAAAGATGAGATTAATTTTTCTGCGCAAACTATGTTTGCAAATATAGGGTTTGCCTAATCTTGCCGACAGATTCGTTTTTGATTAAAAATATATATGAAAACCCCTCTGGTGGAATTTCCCTATTCTACACCCCTGGACATGAAAGAGTCCTATAACCAACCTAGGTAAATGACAGATTTCTCCAGTGAAAGCTATACTGCTGTCTCTCAAGCTACAACTTACCACTAGATTGGCCTATGATGTCCTCACACTTCTCCTGTCAAAACTTACCACTATCTATATTTGTCTTTGTTGTCAAAACATTGGTCTTGTCACAACTCTCCAGTCACCACTGTCTAGATATTCTTTTGTGGTTCAAACATTTCCCCATGGCACATGTCCATTTTCTACACATTCTTCATTCACAACTTACCACTGTCTAGATTTAATTTCTCCTGCCACAACTTGCTGCTGTCTATATCGACCTATGTTTTCCAAACATTTCTCCAGTCACAACTTACCACTATGTAGATAGGCCTATATTGTCCAAACATTTCTCCTGCCACAAATTACCACTATGTAGATAGGCCTATATTGTCCAAACATTTCTCCAGTCACAACTTATACCACTATGTAGATTGGCCTATATTGTCCGAACATTTCTCCAGTCACTATGTAGATCTGCCTATGTTGTCCATACTTTCTCTCATGACAACTTACCACTATGTAGATTGGCCTATATTGTCCAAACATTTCTCCAATCACAACTTATACCACTATGTAGATTGGCCTATATTGTCCGAACATTTCTCTAGTCACTATGTAGAAATGCCTATGTTGTCCAAACTTTCTCTCATGACAACTTAAAACTATTTAGATCTGCCTATGTTGTCCAAACTTTCTCTCAGGACAACTTACCACTATGTCAATCGGCCTAAGTTGTCCAAACATTTCTCCAGTCACAATTTACCACTATGTCGATCGGCTTATGTTGTCCAACCATTGCTCCAGTCACAACTTACAACTATTAGATTGGCCTAAGCTGTCCAAACATTTCTCCAGTCACAACTTACCACTATGTAGATCGGCCTATGTTGTCCAAACTTTTCTCTCCTTACAACTTACCACTGTCCAGATTAGCCTGAGATGACTTTCCAGCTGTGCCTGTTTCAGCTTTTTTCTTCTTCTTTTTCTTCTTTACTTTATCTTTCGGTGTCTTGTCCTTTCTAGGACTACTCTCTGGGATTTCATAAGGAAAGGAATATTGTTTAGGCTTCCTTTCTCGTTTTTGTCTAACCTCTACGCCACTGTTTGTCGGTTGGTCATTTTGACCATCTACAGCTTTATGTGATTCCTCGATTTCCGGATCCCCTACAGAAGCCTTGTCCTTTTCACTTATTTCTGGAGCGTCCGATTGTTTCACCTCCTGCGTTTTTTCAACACTTTTAACTTCTAAACTTTGAACTTGAGAATCTGTTGTCTCCTGAACTTTGACTAGCGAATCTTTATCATCAAGCCCAACATCCTTATCTTCAGTTTGTGGAAGATCAACACTTCCTGTATTAGAATTGCTCACAGCACTGGGTGTTGAGGACACAACAGGTATGGCAACTCCTACGGAGGCCTTCTGTTCAGAAAGAGAATGTTTAGTTGTCTCACTTTCTGCATCAATAGCAGTCACTTCCTGTTTACAAACAGAACCCCCGCTATCTGAGGTTTCAATCTGAACACTGTCACAGACTGTCTGTTTGGTCTGAGGTTTGCAGGCGTCCTCAATAATACCACTTTCACTCTCTTTATCCTGCTCTGTGACCTTTTTAATGTTTGCAGTCTCCTTGACTGTCAGATCACCAGTTTCAACCTCAGCAGTGTCGGTGTTTTCACCGACACCCGACGTTCCTTCACTTAAAACACTTGGTCCTGCTTCCCCACTGTCTTGAAGTTTAACAGGCTCCTCAACCTGACTTGACTGATCAGTTTCCATCTTGACATCAGAATCTGTTGCGGTCAAGTTTTGACTTTCTGATACTATACCTTCTTGTTTCACACATTCCTCATCCTTGGATTTCTCGGACTGCGAAGGGTGTCTCGTGTGACCCTTGACCTCTACACTGTCGGATTGGTCATGTTTTTCATGAATGACTCCATCAGGTTTAAACAAGTCCATGACAGTTGGATCGATGACAACCTCCTCAGGTTTCCGTGGTTTCTTTTTCACAGGTTTAGGAGCGACTTTCTGAATAGCCGACTCCTCACTCATCTTGGAATCTATAGAATCTTGTCTCTTTCTTTGGGAATCCTTTTGCCCTTTCCCTTTAGTAGAGACGTCCTCTTTCTCCGAAACAGTCCTCCTTCTCTTCCCTCCAGTGGGAGTGTCCTTCATATCCTCCTTCCTCTTACCCACGCCCTTCCTCTGTTTTGGAGAACTGATGTCCTCGTTGTCACCTGGACTCTCCATCTTTCCTTTCCTTTCCTTGACTGTGGTAGGCGTCTGTGCAGCTGCTCCTCGTCCACTTTTTCTTCGTTCTGCAGTAGGAGATTCTTTTATTTCTGCCTCTTTTTTCTTCCCAGTTTTGGCTGTAGTTGGTGTTGACTTCTTTACTCCTTTTCCTTTCTTTGTTTCCGTATCCTCCTCCTCTTCCAATACTTCTTCCTCTGCTTTTGAGGCTCCCTTTTTCTTCCCTTTTGTAACTGTTTCCGTTTCATCCTCATTGTCCTTTAGTTTCTTTCCTCTCCTTTTGTCCACCTTCGGTGTTTCAACTTCTTCCTCCGAATCTTCTTCTTCATGGCTCTCCTCTGCACTTTTCTTTCCTTTTTTGCCAGCCGCCACTTTCTTCCCTTTCTGGACAACCATCTTTCCTCCTTTCTTGGGCGTAACTTTTTCTTCCTGGATGCTATCATCCGCTTTAGCCTTAGGTTTCCTCCCTCTCTTCTGCTTTACTCTGACAGGTGTATCTTCTTCCTCTTCTTCATCACTCTCCTCTTTTTTCTTTTCAGTTTTTCCAACTTTTTTCTTTCCTTTTGGTGTTGTTTCTACCTCCTCTTCACATTCTTTGGCTTTCTTTCCTTTTCTTACAAGCTTCTTTTTCCCTTTAGGTGTGTCATCCTCTTCCTCTTCTTCTTCACTTTCCTGTTTCTTCTGTCCCTTCCTACCAACTTTCTTTTTCCCTTTAGGTGTGTCATCCTCTTCCTCTTCTTCACTTTCCTGTTTCTTCTTTCCCTTCCTACCAACTTTCTTTTTCCCTTTAGGTGTGTCATCCTCTTCCTTTTCTTCTTCACTTTCCTGTTTCTTCTGTCCCTTCTTACCAACTTTCTTTTTCCCTTTAGGTGTGTCACCCTCTTCCTCTTCTTCTTCACTTTCCTGTTTCTTCTGTCCCTTCTTACCAACTTTCTTTTTCCCTTTCTGAACACCTTTCTTCTTTCCTTTAGCAGTTTCCTCTTCTTCCTGCTCATCGTTACTACTTTCCTCTTCTTTTCCCTCTTTCTTTCCTATATTTTTCTTCCCTCGCTGTTTCGGAGAACTCTCCTCCTCGCTATCACTTTCTTTATCCTGCTTGACTTGCTTCTTCGCTCCTTTTTTCCCTTTCACTGCTACCTTCTTCCTTCCACCTCGTGGCGTTTTAACTTCCTCTTCACTCACTTCCTCCTCTTCCTCGCTCTGATCATCATCTTCGGCTTTCCCCTTTTTTCCTTTGCCCTTCACACCTTGTTTCCCAGTCTACAATAAAAACATTGTCTCAACTTGAATAGGTCTACATGTATAGGTACTTTACATTCGCTAAATTGAACCTAACTAGGACATATTTATGGGCAAGAACAAAATTTTCAAAAGCACTGGTCCAATGGCAAATGTCTGTTTCTATCAAAGTAATAGCCCTAAAAATGAAATCTATTTGTCCCAACTCATCATATTCAAACTTGGATATTTCATGGAAGTAACTTTTGTAATATTTGTGTCATTTTAACTTAAAGCTCTTTTGCCTTTCACTTGTTTATTTGATAATAAAAATAAAGCCATTTGGGGCTCACAGCCTCACATAGATATAACATACAATCCCCAAAATAGTAAGAATGACCTTTGACCTTTTAACCTTGATGAATGATCACCAAAATCTACACAAGTGTAGACCTAGATGTTTCCTTTCTATGGTGTAAATATTCAGGGTACAATTCAGTAGACCATTTTGCACTGGTCAAGCAAGCAGATCCAAATTTTCACTTCCCTGCCGACCAAGTCTACGGACACTGGGCCATTGCACCCAAGTTTTTTCCTGATGTTAATCACTAGCACATTTTGTCAAGCATTGAGATCCTGGTTTCTGGCATAACCAGTTGTTCTTTTATCCCCATATGTTTCTTAAATGTATATCTTCGGGCTTCTATTGAGGATGATATATGCGATAGTAAGACCCTGCTCCTAGTTTGTCTCGGTGATGTTGTAATGTCTCAATTTCCAGACTTATTGCTACTTATACCCATCTTTGTCCCCTTTTCCGAACACCCACAAAGTTTTATGGCTTTCTAATTTTGTCAAATTAATTTAAGACTAGTTACTAGCCTTGCTGACCCACTTTCAACTTGTAACACCTAATTACACTAACTGTTCGTGATCTTTCAAATTCTTGTGTACAGAAATATAATCTGCTCGTAAACCATTTATACTGTCCAATACTCTGAAGTAGACATTCTTTCTTGAAAACCAACCTTTTTGGTAATTTTCTTTTTTTCTTCTTCATCATCATTTTCTTCTTCCTCCTCACCCTCATCATTTTCTTCTTCATTGTTCTTCTTTGTCTAAAAACATAATAGTTGTAATTGGTTAGAAGTAAGATTCTGAGGTAAATGATAAGTTTGTTTTTTAATCAAAACAAGAACTGAAAACTCCTTTTGCGAGCTTTTGAAAACATCCGTTTCCTTTTTCAAGCAAAGAGTTTAAATGGCCAGTGTCTCAACTCTAAACTACTGAAAACAACTCACTAAGCCACAGCGTGCTGTATGAGTTAAGTCAACTGTCAGAAAACATAGAGACATTTCGCCATATAGCACTCTAATACTGCAGGCAGTCAAGGGTATGTGTCAAGAGGTCAGAAAAGTCTAATCTGTCGAAACAAAACAGCACCCTCTTCATCAGAAAGAATTTGGATGGATGAACAAACCAAGGTCATTCGTTTGAACAAACTTTGTAGTACTTCATCCAAGCATGGTACAAGAGTTACTGTGCTATTAATATTAAGATCACCCTGGGACTTACGGAAGCTAGTTGAAGATTTTCTCTCGTTTGATTCCTGTGAAAAAGGAAGCTGTTTGAAGATTTTCTCCTGTTTGATTACTGTGACATAGAAAGTGGGTCAAGGTCATTCATTAAAGCAAACATGGCTACTCAACTTCTTCATCTTTTTTATATGAGAGTTGCAAATATGCAAATCATTTGGGTTCCTTGACTTTCATTAATGAACAAAACTATAGTGCCCACTCTTGATCGGTGTTACACATACCCTCAATGAGGATCAGGTACCTTTTTATTAGTTCCTTTTTTCCCTTTGCCTTTCTTTACTTCCTTCTCCTCCACTTCCTTCTCCTCCTCCTCTTCAATTTCCTCCTCCTCCTCCTCTTCTTCCTCCTCCTCTGCCTTGACTGCAGCTTTACGGCCTCTTCCACCCTAATCACACAAATAAAAATCATTTTTACAAGATATCCCAGTCTCTCAATCATGTTATCGTCAAAAAGGATAAACACTGCCAGAATCTTTCATTAATACTAACGACAAGTGACAATTAAAAAGAATGTATCACATCAGGGATCATACAGGAACTTTAATATGAAATGATAGACTTTCTTTGGCATTTTATAAAAAAAATAAACTCAAAATATCCTGCCATGTGCAAATTTTTGAATAACAGAGATTGGATGTGTTGGTTTAAACACATTTTTATTGCCTTGAAAATGACAGAAAGGATTGAGAACAAGTTCTTACAACTTAATTAAGCCCTCTCCTAACTTAAAGACATTTTACGTACATCATAGCTGTCTTAACATGTACACTTTTTTTTTTTTTTTTTTTTTTTAATTTAAGTTGAATAAACAAAATAAGGAGTCTCGTTGCAAAATTATTACTTCTTGTGAGAATAAATTGACTTAAATCAAGTTTCCCGGTAACATACTTTTCTGATAGGTGTTTTTTTGTCGTCCGGTTTCTCAACAGTCTTTCCACTCTGCAAAGCTTCCATTGCCTCCTTCTCCCTTTGTCTATTCTCTTGTATAATTTTCTCCGCCATTTCGCGCTGCTCGTGATCGCCAATCCTTGTCGATCGCCTGGAGAGAAAAATGCGACATTACAGTTCACTGTTGCAATCAATATTTTTTTACTTTATGTAGTTTTCATGATTATATCTCATCACATCACTAATATAATCGTGTTGTCACATTATCCAGACTTGTTAATGCCACCACTAAATCAGTTGTCACAATATCAAGACTTGTTCTGTTACCACTAAACCAGTTGTCACAATATCTAGCCTTGTTATTGCCACCATTAACTCAGTTGTCACAAAATCAAGACTTGTTTTGTCACCACTAAACCAGTTGTCACAATATCTTGACTTGTTATTGCCAACATTAACTCAGTTGTCACAATATCAGGACTTGTTCTGTTACCACTAAACCAGTTGTCAAAATATCCAGAGTTGTTCTGTTACCACTAAACCAGTTGTCACAATATCTAGACCTGTTATTGCCAACATTTACTCAGTTGTCACAATATCAAGACTTGTTCTGTTAACACTAAACCAGTTGTCACAATATATAGACTTGTTATTGCCACCATTAAATCAGTTGTCACAATATCAAGACTTGTTCTGTTAACACTAAACCAGTTGTCACAATATATAGACTTGTTATTGCCACCATTAAATCAGTTGTCACAATATCAAGACTTGTTCTGTTATCACTAAACCAGTTGTCACAATATCTAGACTTGTTATTGCCACCAGTAACTCAGTTGTCACAATATCAAGACTTGTTCTGTTCCCACTAAACCAGTTGTCACAATATCTAGACTTGTTATTGCCAACTTTAACTCAGTTGTCACAATATCAAGACTTGTTCTGTTCCCACTAAACCAGTTGTCACAATATCCAGACTTGTTATTGCCACCATTAACTCAGTTGTCACAATATCAAGACTTGTTTTGTTACCACTAAACCAGTTGTCACAATATCAAGACTTTAATCTGTCCCCACTAATCCAGTTGTCACAATATCAAGTCTGTGTTTTAGGGGACAAATTGGTCTATTGCTAAACAAACGTCTTTGAGCAATCCATTCATTCAATCATCACGTCTCAAAAATGGAAGTGAACTATGGATTTTTCTCTTTTATGATCCCTATATTTGACAGAATAACCTAAAATTTGTTTATATCAAACTCTGGCCAAGTAATACTCCATAGTGTTTGGTGACAATTGGGTAGTAAATTTTGATGATATAGAGCAGACAGAAATTTTCTGATTGGACAGATTAAGTTGATGCAGAAATATACAGTAAAACATCTATTATTTTTAATTTCCTACTTGGGAATTGTAAAGAGGCAAACTGGGAAAAAATCACATTCTTTTTCAATTGAGAATAGCTCCTTTAAACCACTGTATTTAGGACCACTTGGTGTCAGAAATATTTGCACAAAACATTTTACGCGTTAACAATTTCTCAAAAATGTTCTCCACACTCGTAATTCTTCATCTCAAAAATTGAACCATCAACATTCAGTAGCATTAAAGGTAAAAAGACCGTTTACCTAATATTAAGAGGGGACTGTTCCACCTTTCGTCCCTTTGGACGTCCTCGGCCTCTACTAGGGGTTTCTTCTTGATCCCCTTCATCCCCTTCATCCTCCTTGTCCTCTTCCTCATCCGGCTTATCTTCTACGACAACATCCTCATGTGTTTGCTCAGAATCCTTCACCTCCTCAACATCATCGTCTGCATTCCGTCCTTTACGAATGGCAATGCGTGCGCTCTTGCGTGGGGATGACGACTGGGCGCCTGAAGACGACGCAGCTGTCTGTAACACTATAACTGGCTGCTTGGGCATCTGGTAGGAGGGCAGTGCATAAGCATGGTCAGAGAATGCTGAAATTTTCTCATCTGACTTCTGTAGAAACAAAGAAAACATTCATTAATTACTGTGTGAATCAGTGTCATAAATGCCAATATTCTTGGAGACATGTTTCTGAGTTTTACGGGGTTCCATTTTAATTACGATACTGGAAATATGCAAAATTTCCCTCCCTACAAATGCCATAAATGTTCAAGTAAAATCAACTCCTGTCATTATTGATAAACTTTATAACCCAGCAATATTACACTTATACGGATCATATTTGGCAAAATTTAACAACGAAATAAGCAACAACATTAAACAAAATTAACAGTTTTGTTTCGCTCCATCCTGCGGCCACCCTTCTCACCAGCCTGTCGCAGATCATGTGCCAACAGAGAATATTTCCACATTTCAAGAAACGGCACTTACTTTCTATCCCTGCACTAATCCCCGAGGGAAAGAGAATCAATAGGCCAAAAGGGCATGTATAACTCACCTGAATATTTAAGGAGTCATAGCAAAATGTTCTCATTAACAAGAGGCCCATGGGCCTAAACGGTCACCTGAGTCTACAGTATTTATTTTTGTTGTTGAAATATGTACCAATTTGAGTAAAAAATAGTATAATGTTAACTTAACTTTGTCAGGACCATGAGCTGATCATTCCTAGACCAATTTTAAGTGAGATCGGCCTATTAGAACTTAGTAGCAAAATAGCGGCCATGGCAGCCAAATTGTATTTCTGATTGACCCGAAAAATAACAACACTTTGTCAGGACCATGAGGCGATCATTCCTACCAACTTTCAGTTCAATCGGCCCAGCAGAACTTGACTTTAAGTTTGAAATGTAAAATGTTAACGGACGACGGACGACGACGGACGAAAACGGATAGCAATAGGTCACTTGAGCTAAAGCTCAGGTGACCTAAAAATTATCCTGTACTACAAATGGTTCACTTGCAAACTTTGTCGGCTCCGTCTATTGGAACTACCAGCCAAATATTATTATACGATTCTATGCTTTTTGCTTTTTGGTTCTTCTTCAGAAGTTGTTTGAAGTGTTTGACATATTTGACCCTTGTGACCTTATAAGGAGATCTAGGTTATTTACAATTTTAAAACTCTGTCAGATGCCATCCCAGGAAGCTACCAGCCAAATATTATAAATCTATGCTCTAAGATTATTCAGAAGAAGTCAGTTAAATTGAGCTGTTTGACATATTTGACCCCTGTGTCCTTGTGAGTAGGTCAAGGTCATTTTCATTCTCAAACTTTGTCGGGCTCTATCCCAAGAAGCTACCAGCCAAATATGAGGTTCTATACCTTTCAGTTCTTCAAAAGAAGTCGTTTGAAAGAAAGAATGACGGACGACACACAATGACATAAGACAAACAAAAAAAAGGTGTCTGTTTAGGGTTCCCGACCAACCCTAGCTTTTTACCCCCGACCCAAAACTTTTTGATTTTTTTTTTTTTTTTTAAACCCGCTGATTTTCGAATTTTAGAAGGTTCCTAGCCTTTCAAAATGGCTTCCAGCTCCGTGTTGGCGCTAAATGTCATCATATGGAGTACAATTTGCCTCCAAATGAACCTTGTTTATGTAATTCTTTGTTTGACATACAATAGTAGGGTCATAATCACATGACCAAAAAATATACAAAACAAAAAAAACAAAAACAAAATCCGACCTACCTACCCTTGTTTTTTTGCCAATGCAACCCCTAAACAGACTATATATTTTTTTTTGGCCTAAACTCACTTGCCCTTCGGGCAGGTGAGCCAAAAAGCATGAAGGGAAAATACTCGTACATGGTTATAAAAATAGCATAGATAAATACTTGATTGTTTCAAACAATAAAATTTGTAGATTTTCTTGATCCTGTCTCTAACTCTAACAGGTTATACGATTATCTGTTGTTTGACATTTATAATAAAAGCACCTACATCAAACATGTCCAGTGCAAGGAGGTCATCACTGGTGTTGACAGAATCCTGACTACTGTCCAATCCCGCAACTTGAGCCATGGTCTCGGTGAAATCACCTTCGTTAGTCTGCTGAAGAATCTTTCTTGCTTCTTCCGACGACAAAAATTCGTCCAATTTGCTCATGTGCTCCTCAGAAAACCCACTAAAAGGATTTTTGTCCTATAGAAAAGCAACAAAGAAGTATTAACATTATACAGAAACAAAGTGTATCGATCCCGTTGTTTTGAGATATATATTGCTTTGGGGCATTTCTCAGCTCACAATATATACATAAACTCTGATCATGAATGCTCATGAAATTTTATCCTAAAATTGAAATTACAAAGGTTAGACACTAACTTAGTTTGCTTGGTAGTCCATAGGACTAGTTGAATAGATTATTTACTAGTCCTACCTCAATGTAACTAGTCTAAGATTTGCTGATAAGGAAACATCACCATCTACAGCATGAAACATTAAAAGTAACCGACTGTAGGGGACTTAAAATTTATCATGCAATATATATTATTTTAAGCAGTTTTCTAAATTTTGAGGTTGGTTTTTTTCTTATTTTATAATCATATTTTTCACAAATCCAAAGGACCAGTTAGGTAAGGTGATTCATTAATTAGTCCTTGCTGAAATCTGCTAGTTCAGCACTACTGGACTTGTGTTAGTGTCAACCCCTGTATATTTTTCTAAATTCAGGCAAACTGTCATTTAATGGGTGGTCATGAGGTAAAACAGTGGAAACTTGATACTGGATACTTGAGTCGGCACTCAACATTTCTCCCACTTAAAATTCTTTATGCACTTCTATCCAGGTCAACAGGAGTGATTCATGAAAGTTCATAATTGTCTTATAAAAGTGTTATGATATTTTTTTTATATGACCTTTTGGTTGGGGTTATAAGAAACAGTTGCAACTGTGGTAGAATTTTTTAATAAATTAACATACAAAATCTCGTCTCTTTAAAGGGGTTTAACTCATTCACCCCTGAAATTTCATAATGAACTATTCCAACCTTTGAATTGAAAGAGTTCAAATGTGTCTCCAGGGGTGAATGAGTTAATAAAACATTTCAATTATTCAAGCATTGTGTTTTGATCTTGATTATATTTTCAATATCAGGGAAGGCATAAAATAGGGGATTGGGTGGGGGTCCATATTGTGGTATAGTTAATTTAGCACAACTCCTGCTCAGAGTGAAGCTTAGCCTTAGTCTTTTTATATTGCATATATGCTGAACAACTTAACATTAATATTTCAAATTAAAGGAAGTTATTGAGCAGTAATAAATATGTTAACTAACTGACAAGGGCCATAGCTATCATATTTTCCAGATTTCCATTGGGGGGGGGGGGGGGGGGGGGGGGAAGGAAGAGATTCTGCACTCTCAAATGTAAAACCTAAATAAATGTGTGTATATACCTCCTAGTGACAAAATAACCCTTTAAAATGACATATTTTTAGTTGTTCTTTCAGATGAAATCATTAGGTCTTAGAATATAGGGATAGTTAAGCAAATTCACTGGTTTGAAGATGCAAAATTTAAGGGTCCAAAATCGGGAGGGTTGAGAAGTATGTGACATCATAGCTCATACCATATACCATAAATTCAACTATTTCTACATTACCTCAAATCCCTCTAAATGCCAGCCACCAGGGGGAGCAGGACCGGAGTGGTCTCCCCTTTCTGGTTTTGTAGAACTCTTATCATTACCGACAGAAACTGTGACAGTTGGAGGACCAGAACCGTCAGAACAACCTTGATTACTGCTTAACGTCACTGCTATAGCATGACTTGTTTCTGTTCGTTCACTTTCTGACATTTCACTCCTTTGAATATCTGTAAAAGAATGGGAAAATTAATAGTGACCATTATGAACTAACTTTATAGGGTGGACAGGTGGTGCAGTGGATAGCGCACTTGCCTTTCACCGAGGTGGCCGGGGTTTGATTCCCCGATCAGACGTGAAAAGGTTTGGGGTCACCTGCCTGACCGCGTAGGTTTTCTCCGGTTACTCCGGTTTCATCCCACATTTAGACTCTCCGCACACTATCATCCGGACCAACAAGAGTGATTAATATAGGTTGAAATAACTGTTTCATAATTGTTGAAAAATAAATAAGGTTTATATTAAAGTACACGTATTCAAGTCTGACATAACTGACAGCCTAATAATTTTAACAATATTTTAAAAAGTAATAGAATACTGTTATAAATCAGTGTTTTTAACCTAAATTTTTGCGTTAGTCTGCTCCTTTATGAAATGGAAAAACATTGCATTATCTATATTGAAATAGGGATTATATTCCTCATTTTTTAGGGGGGGGGGGGGGGCACTTATTAGCTAGGGGAAACAGCCTGTGTTCTGTAAAACTGAGCAGAATTAATCACTGCAAACAGTTTGCCAAATTTGGCTTCATGGCAAATATACAACAGATTTGTAATCATACCAGCATGACTATTAAACAAATCTTTTCAATCAATATATTCAGAACATAGTGACATATCTATGTCTTTTAACTCAAAAGGTTAAAAGGTAATTTTTGTAAAGTTTTGTACTTGCACCATGAAACGATATTCAATTGACAAAATAATATAATCAAACAATCTCTGGTTGACCTTCATCTTTATGCAACTGATTCAAAGGTGTTTTCTGAAGCAAGCTGCCAGGAATTGCATCAGTATTTGGAATGTAAAACTGCTGGCATCATCAAATAATGCATTAGACAATCATTGTTCATTTTAATAACTAGATGTGATGATTGTTCACAATATTTCAACACATTTCAAACACTAAGTCTAGGACACTGTATGCCATGGTCTTGTATCATGTTAGTAGTCTTGGCAGATGTGCAGCCCAAGTTTATTCATCATAACGATAGTCTCCGTACTGCTTTTTCTCTGTTTTCCTGCATGCTTAACAATTTTGGCATGGTCTTGCATCCTGTCATGTCTTGACAATAAATAAGTTCGTATGTGAACACTGCCACGTTCAATTCAAAATCATTTTTTCCTGCATATGAGGATGACAACAAACGCCATTGTAATATTCTAATAATAACAATGACCGGCAAAATGACACGAGGTATGCGATGCATATTGGATTCTGCGAACTCTGGCAATTTGGGATTCTTATTTAAAATCTGGGGGTCTGTGGTTTCGTAGACCTTTCTTTTATCGTACCATCGATAGGCCAGTTATTTCTTACATAATCACGTGTTCTGGGCATATCAATAGGCATCATGCCGTAGCGTAAGCAACGCGATGCTGACGAGAAGTGTTGTTCGCCAAAGGATTTGTCGTGTGTCTGAAAAATACAAACCTTAAGCATCCCACAAATAAAGTGTTTGCAAAAGCTTATATACTTTAGGTCCGTCTCGCCAAAGGACTTTTCCATCCAGTCGCAAATTATACCAAAATAGCAGGTGTCCTTGCAACACACTATCGAATCTCATCAAAAATCAAGCGCCATGTTTTCCTAGACGTCACGTGACCTTGTGTTTTGGGGTAAATCGCGTCCGGCATTTACCGTTTGTTATTTGATTAATTTATGTATTCTTACATCTAATACTATGTTAGCATCAAAATTATACTATTATGATTGATTTAGCTTAACACGAGAAGTAATTATTAATTTTATCCAATCAAATAGCAATATTTATTCACATGTCTATCGATGACTGTCTGGACTTTGTATCGCATTAACCAAAGAGTTAGAGGTACTACGAATGGAAATAACACATAAATTGCGGGAAAACATGAAAACTTCCCGTTCTAACACGTGGGTTGATTCTATGTTCTATATGACCGTTGAAGAAGTGGAATATAAATGAGAGGATTTTATGTCATATTTCATTCCCGAATGGTAAGAATAATAATGCATTAAGGTATAAATAATTTCAGCTACTTTATTTATCTAATATTTTATTATGATCATTTCTACTCATGTATTCAAAATTAGAAATTATATTATAGCTTACATGTACACCTTTGTTATTGAAAAAGTGATAAATTCATAAAATTGTATTTTTACGTTTCTTTATAAATAATAGGAGAATATTTTCGCACATTTGTGTTTCACAGTATGACAACTTGTTCAGATGAAATCGATTTTACTACGCAAGTTAACAAATTACGCAATTTTGTCCTATTTCTTATAAAAGAACGGCAGTGATTTTTCCCTGCAAAGTTATCCTACTATATTTTGCAAATCATTCCCCGGAAAAATATGAAAATATTTAGCGGATAGTACGTTGTTTTGGGTCGCCATACTGGCGATTAGAATATGAAATTTGGTTTGAACTCGATACCGATATTCAGTAATAAATGGAGGTAAGCACAAGGAATGTTTACTTTTTACTTTTTACCTTATTTTGCGATAGAATATAGGTATATGTTTATCCAAGAATGCCTAACCAATCAGGTTTTTTGTCTATGGGGCAGTTTGGGGGACTGATGTAATGGTCCCCATTGCAATAACTACTTGTTTCGGTCCAGTGTTAGCGCGCGGAGGTCTTAATGTGGGAGGAAAACGGAGTACCCGAGTGGTCGGGCAGGTGATCCCAACCTTTTCACGTCCGATTGGGTTGGTTTGGGGAATCGAAACCTGGCCGCCTTGGTGAAATCATGTTGAGAAATCTATCAAATGGATAATTATTTATATTTTACCAAGAAAAGTGCTTGATAATTCTCTAGCTTTGCATTGAAAACAGTTTTCGGCTTTAAGTGTCTCTTCAATGTTTCGGCCCAAATCATTGAAAAAAGGGAAAATTTTATGATTTTTACGGGAACAAGAAATTCGGCTTGGGCACAAATTCCATACTTGAGCATGAGAACGGTTTCATGAATACGGGCCCAGGAAAATTAATTTTCCAAAAGTAAATTAACATCAACCTAGCTAGGTTTCTATTTTTAGTGTGTTTCTAAGACGTGAAGGTAACGTGATGGTAGGTGGTACCCAAAATGGAACACTTTTCATATACATGATGTGGCATTTCATAAGCGCAATGCATATGAAAAGTATGTTTTTAAACAAAATTTACATAGTTGTACGAAATTGAAGTTCATTTTATCTGCCTATCTGTAACATATTACTCATGAATTCATTTGAAAAATTAATCATATGATGAAATAAAAATATTTCCCGCGTTTTAGGATCTCGGCAAGCTGCAACTTCCAAGTGAACCTGACTCGACGAAATGAACACAATAAATAGACACACGCGCTGGTAATACGCAAGAAATGCATAAAATAAAAGTTAAAAGAATCTGTTGTTTCATCAGCGTAAACAAATTTGGAAATGTCACGTTATCTAAGATGGAACACCTTATCATAAAGAAAAATATGAGTATATCCTATTTAGATATTGGGACGTCGATTTTGTTTAGTTATAATGAATCAATAGAATCATTCAGCTTTCTTTTGTGTACTTCTTTGGTATCAAAAGAGCGAGCATGCTTCTGTAAATAGAGCCAACTCATTTGAGTGAACCGGGTTCGCAAATTGGAACATCTCATCATATTAATTTATGAAAATAACCGAGAGCTTTTAAAATATTTTGCGTCATTTCAAGACAAAATGACACTTTTGATAAATTCTAGTCATTCATTCATTAAAATATTCATTTAAATAACATTTTCCCATGATTAGAAACGTGGAAGAATATTTTGTTGTCGCGCTGCAACCATTTGCAGGTAATTCCGTCTTTGCGTATTGCAGAGTTATCTTCTCTTGTGAGCAGGTATTGATTGTTACGTCATTGGTTTGTGTGAGAAAATTAAGTCGTTTTTTCAAAAATAGATGACGTTACTCTCACAAACAAATGACGTAACAATCAATCCCTGCTCACAAGAGCAGATAGCTCTGCAATACGAAAAGACGGAATTAAGGGTTATACCGTAGCTCTCCTCTAAACAGTATTTCAGACCAATATGGACTTCCACCTTGGCCCCAAACCGACATCGATTAGTCCTAGAAGGACAAGACAGGTGTATGGTTCAGTGTAATTTTTTTCGCATACAGTATCTATCACCACCAAATTTTATAAGTCCCATAACACGTGCGTATCTTACCTCCATCTTCCTTTGATGATATTATGAACATGTCATAATTTCGGGCATTCTCCATACATTTCCAACCAATACCTCTGTTATTACTATGGAATCAGGATTTTCGTCATTTCTTGCCACCTGCAGTTGTCTTCGTCATTTTTGACCATCTTTTTAGCTGTCTTCCTCACATCTGACCATCTCCAGCAATATTTTTGAAAATCTTTTCAGTTTCATTTTTGAATGATTCTCAAGCATTGCTGCAATAGTTGCCGTCCCAGCAGTACAGTCAAAACCAGTACCAAGCTTTGCATAGTTTATTTCTTTGTCATTGTTTTAGGATATTAAATTAGTTCTTTACTATCACCAATGCTAGTGGGTCAAACTGCTTCCGCCTCCATGCCTACCACTCTGTACTCTCAGATCAATGATGTTTTTGAGTGTTTCTGTAGTTGGTAGATTGGAGGTACTACTAGCTATCTACACAAATTCTTCATAAGTGTCCTTTCCGGATCCACTACTGTTGACATGGCTATCTTGTGCGGCCATGATAGGATATGTCGGACAACACAGCAGCACACACTGGTAGAGTAACGCACCGAATTTCCCCAGTAGTCCTGCTTTTGTTATTCATCACTCTTTCATTAACCCGTACCTGTAGCCCATCGATATTGTTGGCGTTATCCAAGCTTATCTCAAATAATATATGGTCGGGATGTCCAATTCACTTCATCTCCTTCTACATTTCTTCGTTACCCTGCCACTCTTTGTGGATAAAGGTCCTTGTCTTTCCTGATCTGAATTTCATTCTTACTCATAGGGTCTCGTACAGGGCTATCAATATGTGCCGCACTAGGACGTGTGTTTTGGGGCCATTGCTGGATCTCTCATTAAACCTCTGTTTGGAGGTAATGCTTTCGGTCTTTTTGTTTCTCTCTCTGTCGCCGTAATGAAGGTTCATAAAAGAGAGGACGAATCTTGTTATAATTTCCTTTTCTAGTGCCTGCCATACTATTTAATATCACGCATTCTACAGAATATTGCTGAAATAGCTCATGATAATCCCTTTGATGTGTTATTAGATGCGTTAATGCTGTACCGTTTCGCAGATCAGTTGGCGAAGTTCTGTGACATATGCATTGACAAGGTTCTATCAGAAGTGATTAAAGAATTTCGTTACAGGGATATGGTTATTTGATTTTCTAACCAGAAGGCTTGTTTTAAGCAAGTGGTTAGATATTCAAACATCAAAATCTCTTCAACAACATAATTCATTTTGATCTCAATGAATGTGAATATTTCATGTGAAAAAGACAAAGTGTCTCTTAAACTAGGGTATACTTTCCCGGTCTCTGAAATTGATAATTGATGGAAGTTATTAATAAAATGTGATATAGTTATTCGTAAGTCTCTACAATATTTATAATATCTGTAGGTTCCTCGTTTACCGCAGACATTTATGTCTTTGAAGAATATTTCAATTTCTACATTTATATTATTGTAGGTCTCTCGAATACCACAGACGATGATACAATGCATGAAGACGATGGGGTTAAGCATCGTTACATAACAGCGTCGTCTGGACCGGTACTTGTTAGAATATTGTGTCCGCGGAACCCGCAACGAAAATGGTTTGTAAATCTAAAAAGAAATCACAGGATGAAACTGTCACGATTGTGCCATCACAACACAAACAGAGCTCGCATGAGAAAGACAAGGGATGCAGAAACAATCTGGCATCGAAGTATATAGAACACATGCCCTACGTTTGGGACTGCAACTCTCGATTAGCGGTCTGGTCTGATGTTAAGGAGGTCCTATTCCCGTCCTGCTCCGACCCAGAATGTGACATTGTACTAAATGCTCTCAAAATTGTCAGTAGGTATCCATGGGAAGACAGCAAGATGCAACCCTGTTCCCCGAAACAACAGATGAATTTTCTAAGGAACTTCCGGTTGGTGCCTTCCGGTACACTTCTTGTGGATCTCCAGTTCGTGAAGGACAAGATCGATGAACTGTGGGAGATGGTCTGGCTCAAACATGGTACTTCACTCGATGTCAGTAGCAGGCGATGTCACTATGTGACGATGCAGTTGACGCATCGCGCTGATAATGCTCAGAGTTCCTCCGACAGAGGTAAGCAAGTTAGAGGTCGTCTTTGGATTTCAGTATCATAGGGTCCGAAATCAAATATAGGGAAGCTGTGGACAGTAAGTTAATCATTAATAATGGCCATCTCTGCAATAATGTTTTTTAAGTCATATATGCATTATAGCAGATAATTCCACTATATCCTATATCATCCACAACATCTTGATACCTTCGCTAAAAGTCAAGCTCGGGATCAATTGTAAGTCCAGTGTTCTGTTGATTGATCTAAAGGAAAATTCCATTTCAGTAGCAAATGACCAGATAATTTACCTCTGTTGCAGTTTGGATATTCTTAACATGGTATTATAATGAGTCGCCACCAAGAAGAATGGAAGATGATTAAAAATTTAAAAAAAAACAAGTATCAGGCGGAAAATTGACAAACTGAAATTTAACCTTAATGTACGCGTACTTTTATATAAGCTATGATCATGTGCAGTGCATGGCTGTCTAACCAATTGGTAAAGATGTTTGTTAAAACTTTATTTCGCGTCAAATCTTTGTTTCGAAAGTACATTTGAAGATTTTCGAAGATGCGATACCGCACGTCATACCGCGCCTCATGGAAGGTTTTTCAAAGGAAATGTGTTGCAAACCATCATAAATGATAAACAGATGCATTTCAATCCTGGAGTAAACTCATTATACTCGTTGTTTTGTTGCCGTTGTTTTTCAGGACCTTCAGAAGAACAAACCAATAGTCAAGAATGCAGTACTGGCATGCACGGTTCGGAATATAAACCAAGAGAATATCACGGTTTGGCAGATACACTAGAACACATAGAAGAGGATGAGAATACACAGAGAGATATCGAACACAATGCTGATACTGATGTCCTGCATGTTAGCCATTCACACAAGAACTCAAGCATACATCAATTGGACAATGACTGTCTTATTGATTGTTCACCAAGGAAACGGCAACAAATGACTGAAGAAAAGTCCGATCAAGACAAGTCTTCTCCACAATATAGATATCCAACTATTGAAACGATGAAAATAATACCCAGAAGAGACCAAAAGGACACTAGCAAGACAAAACATAACGGTTATACTATCATGCCTGTAGTAAAATCAAGTGACAAGGATTGCGACGGTCAAACGTTCCCTTCCGGTGCGGACATTTCAGCTACCTTCCCGCAGCTCCATGATTACCTTGACAGATTGACGAGCGAGTTTGTAGTCGGTCATACGGACATGTCCAGCAATGAAATCAGGCGCTGTTCGTGTATTGAAGGCAGATGTTTCACAAACTGGAAGATAAAGAGACATGGTTGGAGTAAGTTCCCCAATTACAATGGATTTTCGTAATATTTGGTTTGGGGTTTTTTTTGTCCTGAAAAATACCATGTTTTTTACCAATCATGCATGTGTCAAATAATAAACTTATATCAGCCGTGAGGTCAGAATGGTCAAAATGAAAAAAAACACGAGAAAAAGAATGTAATACTGATATTATCCCGGGCTTCCGTGTTTACCAAATTCAAGCATTTATTTAAGTATGTGTATGTTGAGGCTATAAAGGTGTTTTTTTGTGTCCATGAACGTTGACGCTGTGATATATTTTGTCGTTGAGTGCTAATACTTTGGTATGTTTTGTATTTTAGTACTGATGAAGTGATCCTTGTTTGTTGACGCTGTGGTACATTTTGCAAATATGTGATGTCGCTGTAGTATATTTTGTCCCTGGATGTTGACACTGATATAGTTTGACCTCGTGCATTGACTCTATTTTATCATGTGTCCATGCTTGTTGACGCTGTGGTGCAATTCGGCCTTATGTGTTGACACTGTGGTGTATTTCCCCCAGTACTGATGCTGTGGTATTTGTTGTCTTTGTCTGGTTTATTTTGTTCTGTTCTTCTTTATGCATCACGTTCACGTAATTTATATGTACATGTACTGAAATACCAGGCATTTTGTATGCAATATTCCCACCAAACCATCGAAACAGTTCCCAAGTAATTCTCTAATACATTTGATTTCCAAATAAATTCAGAGAGAACTAAGGGTAATTTAATACTACCAGCCATAATAGCTTGTAACAAACTTTAAAATATTTGAAAATTTCAACATAGATGATCCGTAACTGATATGTTACTTTTGAAACATGTTTTGTTCTGATACAATTTCAGACCTACCTTGGCAACACATGACATCAAAGGATATGCTCGTTTCGTGGGATTCGGTGGTGGTAGAACTCCAACGTTTGGCGAGGAATGCAGTTGATGTGAACGACATCTTCCCTATATCTGCATCGGGTTTGATAAGTTTCAAGGTGAAGTTATGTGTTATCTCATGTATAGTTAGTACATCATGCAGATGACCTTCAAGAAAATTTATTTTAATTCATTACCGTTTCATGCTTAAACTCTTGATTCGGTGCTTAAGCCTAATTCCAAGTTCTATAGTGATAAAAACATAAAAGTTCACAATGTGTCAAAGATTTCGAAGAAATAAAAAAGTAAAAATAAAATTAAAATAGTAATTTAAAAAAAATAATAAAATCGCGTAAAGACACATAGTTTCAGTAATAATGTCATTCTTTTTAATAATCTGAGTGAGACATCTGCTTTTTATTTCTAGGATCCGTTTTTATGCCTTGGCGATAACAGCAATACATCCGCTACAAACGTGATATCCACGTGGAATTTTTCAGAACAAATAGGACCATCAAATGCGGAAAAATATATAAGTAAAATCACACTTACAAAATTGGAGCCAGCACCTTTGAAAAATCCAGCAAGATTGTACGACCTGTGCCAGGCGCAGATTAAGTCATGCAATGAACAGAAATCTGCTCCAAGATACCAAGTGTTTCGTCTGGAAAGGAAGAACGTGAATCCAACGGTGAACAGACATCTTGTACAAGAACAGGGAAACGCTATCCTCATTCCTTTGTTAAAAGTCCCCGCTAATTCCAATGCACCAAATATCAAAAAAGAAAGCATAGTTGTGCGTGATTTGAAGCGGACCACACTTGATACAGGAAGTAAAAATAATCCAACACTACTCCGTGTTCCCACATTACAAACATGTACTAGGACAAACGCAACAAATAGCACTGCAGACATGGTGTTACATGCTAAGGCAGATATATATACTAGCACCCCGAGAACAAATATTATTTCACAAAAAACAGGAAATGTTGATAAACAGCCAAAGAAAAGACAAAGAATAAAAAGTCCAACAGAGGCAGCAACACTCACTCGTGTGAAAACGGTAAATAATCTGGATACAAACCAGAACGCATTGGATAGCAACTCTAGTGATAAGAATATTGATGGACCGACTTTAACACAGCTATTGTCACATCCGCTACCGACGGAGAGGCTATCAGTTGCTCAACAACTGTCATCAGTGACTTGCAAATACAGTTCCATGAATCAGAATGCACTCTATCGGAACAGTAATGATACACGACAGAGTGCAATGTCAGGGTCTGCCAAACAACCAGTACGACGGTCTAATCTTTTCAAATACTCGACCTCGCGATCAATTGATCCTTTGGACAGGGTTCCTTGCTTCAGTGGAAGTTCAACTCCTGGCGAGACATTTCATCATTTGCAGAAATGTGCATCATTTCCGAAAAGGACCTTTGAAAAGTACAGAGGCGTTTGGGATCGAATATCAGGTGCTTCAAGTGAGCAATCTGGTAGCAGGAAGCTACATGCTACTGTGGAGCCATTCAAATCGTGCGAGAGGATCACTACCGCTACATCAAACTCATCAACTAAGTCTACACCACAATGGAACATTGACCAAATCATCAAAGAACATCCCCGGCGAATAAAAGGTGACTCATTGTATGGAATCAGTCTTAAAAAAACTCAGACTCGCTATGCCTCGCAACTACGAAAAACCTCTAGCGAAAACGCCACCAAAACACAATGTAATAAGTCAAACTCTGAGAGCAACACAACGCAATACAATAAGTCATGCATTGAGAGTCACCAGAGACGGAATATCAATGAAGTTCTTCCAAGTTTAGTAAAGCCGAAAACTTTGATGCCGCCAGTGCCTTCTGTTAAAAGAAGCGAGGCGGACGAATATCAGAAGAAGGAAGTATGGTACAGAAATGAATCCGTCAGTAGGCCGAATACCTATGTTCACGCAGATACCCTACTTGAAATGGTATCCGCAAATCCGTTCAATCAGACTGTCGAGTCCATGATGGCTCTACGACAATTCAACTGTGACATTGATCTTCTGTATGGAAGTATTTCCAACGGGACAATTGGCCCAAGATCATCGCCGTTGCCGAAGATTGACACCGACAGAGTGCCTACATTTCTTCCAGATATGGCGGGGAATTCCGATATTAACTTGTGTTATCAGCATGCCCAGACACATATCTCAATGGCCAGTGAATCGGACAGCAATGAAGAAATCCCTCCTAACAAAAACATTGATGATAGAAATAATACAAGAACATCACAAAACGTACATAATGAAAGGAACACCAAGAGTTGTTCAATCAAAACTAAAACGGATGTTTCCATAAAAGACGCGAAGGAAATGTCAAACCAAAGCAAACACTGTGCAACTTGTCAGACGTCCAACGGAATTAGAACAAGCCCACAGCAAAAAATCAAGAGAGAAATTGCGCCAGGCGTTGACAATACTTCAGATGAACTTCCAAGATTATCAAAAAGTGAAAACTGCATAAAAACTAAGGGGTTCAAAAAGCAAAATACATTTGTGTGTAAAAGTGCATCAAATCCTGGTCTCCCATCAAGTAAATACAAAGTCATGGTGAATGATTTGACCTTGACGTTTACAAGATTGAAAGACAACAAGAAAAAGACGAAAGATGACGATGATTGGCATACGCACAAACAAGGTAGCAAAGAATTAAAGACTGACAAAGAGTGCCAAACTAACTCAAAGGTGGAAGCCGGAGGAAAAATGCATCGTGGTGGAACCACATTTGAACAAGTAAACATTGATAGTCAAAAGCAGCAATCGGGTTTGGAAAAGCAGAAACAGAAAGGCAAAGGTGATGATGAATTGGTCGTTGGTATTTCTGACAAAAGAACGAAATCATCCACTCAATGTCACAAACAGACTACTAGTTGTTGTCAAAGATATGATGTGGACAAAATTGCAAAATCGATGGAATCAAAGTTCAGAAATGAAGAGACGGGCCCTATGACAGACAGTCACATGGACGGTTTTGGTAGACCTGTGCTGCATTTACATAATAAAAAACGATGGTTGATTGAGTACCAGCAGAATACCAGCAATACCTTGGATAGTGTGAAGAAAGAGATTCAAACTACTCAACATCCAGAGGATTTATATGGCATGGTCTCGTGTGATTCAGCTACCGATGAGAGTCTTAGAAGTACTGTTTTGGAATCGGATTTTCAAACTGGAACCTTACTTCCTGATGGTAGTTTTAAGGCAGGATATGAAATCAATTTAACAAGAGAAGACCGAGTTCATGAAAGGAAAATACCGTCGATTACATCGGGCGAAGAAAGTGAAACACTAATGGAAAATGTTGATGTTGAAGGTAGTTTATCTAGAGATACAGCGTATTCTGACATCACTGATCTAGCATCGTCTGATGGAATTTTACTTGCCGATAATAATGAACTCGGTTTGATTGAAGAAGTCGTTGTCAATGTCGCGTCAGTTTCAATGACTGAGGTCACAACCCAAGAGGAAAATACACAACCTGCAATTGCCGAAAAAGAAGAAAACATTCAACAAACTAAAAATGATTTAAACATGCAAACGAAACACAAAGAGGCCACTGACCCAGAGTCCTGCATTAAAGATGAAACAAATACCTCGTTTGAAGGATCAGTATATGTTTTTAATGACAGCAAGAAGAGCGGTTCCAGAAAAGGTTCTGCCAGTGGTGTAAATATAATACGTAGGAGTGTCCGACAGCATCTTAGTCCAAGAAAATCAATGGCGGAGGTATCCGACAAGACGATTTATAGTGGGAGTGAACGGACAACGTCTGTTAATACTAAAAGGAAGGGCAAGAAATCAGGGAAAACAAAATCTGCTTCTAAGTCCAAAGCACAGCTTTGTGCTGCAAAGGAAACTGCAACAAATGATTCGTTAAACATGAAGGATCAGGAGAAAACCCTGGAAGCGTCTTTCGGTAAATCGTGTGTAGTTACAGATAGATCAAGGGAAAACACAATTGTGAGGGCAAAACATGCTGACAGATCCCCGGAAGGCACAACTAGTAAGCCTTATACTGTTGCCATGGAGACAGACAAAATCAGGGAAGGTACTGCAAGGAAACCCGGAGATAAAGCTTCGAATATAATTCCTAATATAGATAGGAAATCCGCTTCATGTCATGCTAAAAAGGAAATCGAACCTCCGAATCATTATAAAGTAAAACAAAGGAACATTACTAAACAGGACATGACGACTGCCAACAGCAAAATACGACACTTGACTGCAGAACAAAAACGAATGCTGGACATCATTAATCTTTCCTCGTCATCAAGATCAAAACCATCGCCAGAATCTTACTCACTACAATCCCCTCAAAGTATAGCAGACAGCTCGACCATGAGTTCTTCTTCATTCAGGTTGGTGATTTATGAGATTGCTGTTTCACTACCCTTATTGTTTCTTAGACAAATCGCGCATGTAGTAAAATTGTTACTGTGTTCAAATTGTTCTCCGGCACAAGACACGTAATGCAGGATATCAGCGACCTCGTTAGTCACACAGTTTCTAATTTGTAAATCAATGTACATTTTTAATGATATTATATTTATGCTGCCTAATGGCATTCGGAATTTATAAACTGTTTCGCTAGTTAAATAATTAATATTATCTGCGAAATTCAAATTAGCTTTGTTTCTGTCGGAAGTTTTTCCAAGGCAAACATTCCATTCATCCCTTTAGTTGAAGCTGAAATAATATTTGCTGTAGTTGAAGCAATAAGTAATATTGTAGAAGTTCTATGCATGATACAAATCAAACATCATTTGATTTTCTTTGATAAACGTCAAAATGAGACTTATTGAAATACGGATTTGATGTTTTGCAGTTTTGTCCCGATTTACACAAAGGATCACATGTGTAAAGGAGGTTATGCCCATTTGGAAGGTGTGACGTGCCCATACGTCATGATGAACGGTTACAAGTTCGTGGCTATCCAAGATGTCCTTAGAATGTTCCCACAGTGTGGCAAGACATGCAAAGTCATCAGGAATGTCCTCGTCAAATACAGGGGTCTGTCCCGTACTTTTTGTGACAGGGACCAGGTAGGCTAAATATTAGAGTATATCTAATAGTTGTCCGTTTTATATCATAAAGACATTTTCACGAGGATGACCGAATACCAAAATATCAGCTAATGCATACGAAACACAACTAGTACGCTAAAATGAGTGAATATATTCGGTACTCAAACCTCATGATCCACGGTAACGCAAACAAAATATATAAACGAACTGTTCTTCCAAATGTCGGAACAGACATTTATAAAAGATTTCACACCAAATTGACCTTCGGAAGAAAAATATGTCATGTAAATAATAAATATCCATTTTATTATTTTGATACAAAATTTGAATCCCTTTAACTCATTCATCCCTGAAATTTCATAATGAACTATTCCAACCTTTGAAATGGAAGAGGTCAAATGTTTCTTCATGGGTGAATGAGTTGAGGATCCTTGTCCCGCTGCAGGAAAGGGTCAGGATACGACCGTTGACCAGGTAGATCAGTTTGTTAGAGACGCACTATATTGATCGAAGGACCATAGTTCGAGTCTTGGTCTGGTTCCGTGGTATTGGTAACACTCATTTCATCTTTATAATTTTTCATAAAGGCTCCAGAAAGTATGACTTTATTTTCGAAATGACTTTAAAAAGCTGTACTCATGCCGGGAAAAGAGTTTCCAATTCATAATACAGTTTTTGGCACTGGCACAGGAATCCTTAATTGATATTTAATAGGCATAAATCATCTCCGTTCTTCCTTCAGGTGTACCTGCTGGACCAACTGTTTGTTCTGAAAAGAAGATCGGTAAAATCAGGAGACATATTAATCAGGGTTGATTCCCTAGTTAAACACCTTCCGTCGATCAGGGATCATGTTAGGGAAGAACATCTCAATCTCCGCCGACAGGGGAAGACAACTCTTCAATGTGTTCAGCAGCAAACCTGACATTCCAAATTGGACAAAACTACTTTTATAGATATTTTTGTATTTGTTTCGCCTATCATAAACACAACGTGCTGAATATTGGGAACTGTCAACGTACAGCGGAAGACGAAGATAAATACAATATACGTGATTATTTTAAGGATGTAATTCTAAATAAAGTTATTTCATTAATTGAAAGAAGTTCTTATCTTATTTTACCCACCCTGTTACAATTAATAGTCCTATCTGTATCCTGTTTACTCGCACTTTGATTTTTATTTGCTATCGATGGCACACTAACGTGCAAAAATAATATTGTTTACAAAATTAATATATGAATTTAAAAATTTACAAAATTAATATCAATTCGAAAACTTCCATATGCGTCATACTAACAACGCTATAGTTTCCTGTTACTTTTGTGTGTGTGGTTTTATTTTTGTAATGGGCAAGATATTTATTTTGTTTTTTGCTCTGGGTTTATTGTCCACGCATCATATATGGTCAAAGGAGTATCGGAAAACATAGAGACACACCGCTATAACAGTGTACGTAGAAGAGAAAATGAAAGACGGAAGAATCATTGTGAGACATGGCGATCTGTATTGACCGATCAGAACAGATATGAATGGAACTTCTAAAACCGTATATTTTCACATGTTTCAACAGAAGTCAATAGTGTAACCCTTCGTCGAAACTCCAGGGGTTACGATCACTTATGTTTCCAGGGGTTACGTTAAGATCACTTATGTTTCCAGGGCCCGTATTCATGAAACCATTATCATGCTCAAGCAGGGATTTTGTGCTCAAGCCTAATTTCTTGTTCCGGTTATAAATTAGCCAAAAAAAAATTGTCAATAATTTTTAAAAAAAAGTTGAAGAGACTTAAAGCCAAATACTGTTTTCAAAGTTTACATTTGATTTTTTGATCGTTTGACATGATTTAAGTGAGTTGCAAGAAAACTGCTTTGAGCACAGAATCTATGCTTGAGCATGAGAACAGTTTCATGAATACAGGCCTTGGGGTTACGTTCATTTATGTGAGACAGGTAGAAAAAGACCAATCGCTATGCTGATGCATGTCCTTGGAAGATTACAGAGGAGCAACACCCGACATCAAAGTCGGTAAGTTGTACCGTTACGCTGCTGCGCGATGTACTTCAGTGGATCAAATTAGACTTCTAGTATCGTTCACAGGTTGGTGCGTATATAGCGCCTTCGATTTCGTCACGAAAACAGAGGGCAACCCTTGAATTACGAAGATGGGAAGAAAATGGCTCAAATACTGATGCAATGTTTTTATTAATTAAGTTGTCATGAAGGTTATTTACATTCATTAAACAGTTCTTTGGATAAAAAAATAAACTGAGAAATTATCAGCTGACGTTAGATATTTATCTGAGATTCCATCGAGGTCTGTTGCTAGGTTACATTACAGACAAGATTGCTAGTATTTGATTATGTTTAAAACTTAAAAAGACGAAGAGGATTTAACGGTTTCCCCTTGAATAACATATTTATTACATTTTTGCCAGTGAAATATCGGATTCCATCAATTTGATAAAACTGATATCTTTCACACTGTGACAAATATCAAAAGTGATAAATATCACTTTTTGATATTAACCAATCATAACGGTATCTTCTATTCGCTGCATTCAAAGGCAACGATTTTTTGTTCAGATTCAAATGAAGCGACAGTAAAATAAGTGGCTGTTATGGTAAATGTTTGGTACACACACATATACTTACATAAATATACAAAAAATAACATTTTAATAGGCAATAATACCAGAAAACAGCAGAGTATCCCATTCAAAATGGCGCGCAGCCTTATTGTCAAGTGTGACGTCATTAGGATATGGCGCTAATTCTTACGCTGCTGATTCCCACCCGTTTTTAATGCATTACATTTTTTCATTTTTTATGCTTTAAAAAGGTAATAAATAGAAAATTTAATGGTGTCTTCAGTAATAACAGATATATTTCAATCGTGTGGCTAATATTTTGATATCGTGTAGAATATCAAAATATTAGCCACACTCGTGAAATGTATTTGTTATTACTGACGACACCATTAAATATCCTCTATATATCTCACGAGTATGGTAGAATACCTATATTTGTTTCACGAGTGCGAATCACAAGTGAAACCATCGCTTCACAAGTATAGAGTCCATTACCACACCTTTGCATAGACTAAGACTTTCCACTGATGAAGGAATCAACAAATTTTGGTAGAGGATACGAAGTTGTCGATGGGTACGGTCAACGCTGGTGTATGAAAAGGACGAGACCTACCTGTCTGCCCGGTTACTTATCTTTCTTGCATTTGAAACGTTTTCCCTAAAACTGTCTCTCTTTTCGATGGATGCACAAGAGGGAACACTGCATATTATCTCAGGACGACCTTCGGGCACTAGAGAGATGGCCGAGTACCTGCATCATGGCAAATGTCATTCCATGCAGAGAAGTACATTGGCATTCAAAAATTGAAGAAGCGGTAGTCAATCTGCATGGTGTACCAACATGTGGGAATCCCTTCAACTGCAAGTACCTTGGTGTGATTATCATAGCGACGTCATTTCTTGAAAATGCCATATCAGCCAGGCATTAGCCAAAAGAGTTAGACCGGTCGGTTTTCGATGCTGTAACCTCAGAGGAAGTGGATGATAAGTGCATACACAGGTCTACACTTTATATCTATTATTTCGCCAAACCTTGAAACCAAAGAATTTCTATCACGTTAAACATTTCTCTTCATCAGAGTCCGACGTTGTCACCAAATAAGGAACATCACATGGGGTGGGTTGGGGACAACTATAAAGGAAGCAATTATTTGAACATTTTGTTTGACGATGCAGAAATTCAAACAATTTAAATACTTTTGCATGACCATAATGGTCAGTTCGTTTACTTAAGAATCATCAGGGCCCGTATTCACGAAACCGTTCTCATGCTCAAGCATGGATTCGGTGCTCAAATCATGTGACACGACCAAAAGGTCATGTGTAAATGTTGGAAATGGTATACTATGGTGGCATATTTCTGCCATCGTGTTATTCTAGGTCGCGTTACGGTAACACGACTTGTCGAGATAATTATGTCGACAAGTCGTGTTATTTCATTTCATTTACACGACGTTTCACAAAACCATGTCGACCTGTCGCGATAATTTATCACGACCGGTCAAGTTAGATTATCACGGATCTCGACCTAAATTTTGCTTTTGCCCAGATATGCAGAACGTATTTTTTCCTGAAATGAAACGACAAAACGTGCAATTCATGCATAGAGATTTTAATCTCTGTGTGGCTCTCTTAACGATAATGATATTAAAACACTTTTTGTGATATGCACCTCTTGCTATACTGAATTATGCAGTGACAAATTTCCTAAAAAAATGACATCACACCTTTAATTCTGATAAAAATAGCCAAAGCCATGCATCGTCAAAAAACAAAAATCATATAATTTTCTTTGCTGGCAATCTGATTAAAACCACCTGTTACATGGCTCCGTTAACTTCGTACTCCGCCTGAGAGTTAACGGAGCCAGGTTACATATTATTTTAATAAGATTACATTGCGGACCGATAAGTTCTACATTAACATTTCTTATTGGTGGTGTGTAACCTAGAATCCAATTAATGGACATAGTTACGTCCCCTTTAAAATGGCTGCGCCCAGATGTAAACACGCGATGGTTTGATTCTCACAATGACTATATCTTGGTAACGAAGAAAGATGAGCTCTAAATTGAAAGTTAAGGTTCTTTCTAGAAATCCAGACGAATACTTAAGAGAAACAAAACGTGATATTCACAAAAGTAAGTATTGATCCTGTTTTTCGAGAAATGTTTGCGTTCGTCGGGTCCACGTGTGAAGCTGACACTGATCTGTGCATCCAACACATTTGCACAATTAATTTGTGCATTCTGTGTCCTCCTCAACTCTAATGCTGACAGTGAAAGGGCTTTCTCCATGATTAGAAAAATTCAGACAGATACCAGAAGTGATCTGGATATTTCAACCATATGTGCTCTGCTTTCATGTAAACTAAACCAGGACACCGTCTATTATGAATATGAGCCTTCAGACAAGCTTTTGAAGGCAGCAAAATCAGCACCCATGAATTATAATAAAAGTCACATTTAAAGTTGTAAAATTGTTATTTAATTCTTATTATGGTTTCCATATACATAATAGGTATAGTATATCAAAAGAGTGCGAAAATGATGCTACGCGTTATGACCCTGATTTAAAAACCCCAAAGAGGGCCATCACCCTGATTTGTATGCTGAGAGGTTGACAGGTATGGATCATTTTTAAACTTGTATTAAAAGCAATATTGTATCTTAGATGATAAATTTAACCCAAATTCAACACTTGAAACATTCTGTGATATTCTTATAGCTGATACTAAACATTTAATTCTATAACGATATTATGTTGCAATATTTATGTACTTGTGATATTTGTAATTATGATTTACTAACCGATCATGAGGACCATGTGGTAGAATAGCCTTTGGCTAATTATGTCATCCTCGTTAAATAAAGTTTATTATTATTATAATGTAAATTAAATACTGGAAAAGTATAATTAAATGTTAGAAGACAATAAATCATCTACGACTCTGGGAAGGAGTGACCAATACAAGAGAAAGTAATTATATGAAACAATGCTTATTACAGTTCAAGTTCAAGTTCAATTTGTTTATTTAAGTGTCACATATCACAATTACATTTATGTTCATTAATACATATAAAATAACTGTACAAAATATAAATCAATTCCATTGGTACATATAAAATACTTGCAGTTGGCTGTTTCCTAGAACTTAAAACTTAAAATAGTTTGTTTAACATAAAAAAAAAAAAAAAAAAAGAAATAGCACCTGTTGTCTGGAGCTTGATAGTTTCTCAGAGATAAACAAATACCTGGTACCTGTAGCTTATAGGGTGATAGATGTTGGAAGGGGCGACAGGTTGTAAGGGGCGACAGGTTGTAAGGGAAGATAGATAGAATGATAATGGTAAACCGTATATGTGTACATGTTTACTACATGGTGATTTATTATAAATAAGAGACGCAAGTTGTGTCAAATCAGGATAGATGGCTCCTTCTCTCCTCTGTCACCCTTTTCTATTCCTTCACCACATATTTTATCCCTTCTACTCATTTTCCTGTCTTTTCTTCGTCTGCTGGATAAACATACTACTCGGTAGTGAAGCAGACATAAAACCAAAAATCAATACGCTAAATCAGAATGATGAGGAGGGGAGAACGGCCCAGGACAGCTTAGGACGACCTACAGAGAGCGGCCGTGACACTCAGACAGCAGCTTACACCTTGACGCCAATAGAAAATAAAGCTCACCATGACCAACATACATTGTTGCCTCTAGATCTTGTTTGTACATATATCACAGACTCACAGTTAACTAAAAGACATGTTTTGTTACTACATGTTCCGTGCATAAATATACTTTAATGTATTTTTTTTTCTAATAAAGTTTCTTATTAATGATGCAGTTCAAAGAAACTATGACCCAAGCCTTCATCCATTTGAAACATCCCGTGAATATGTGCGTGCCTTGAACGTGACCAAGCTAGAACGAGTGTTCGCCAAGCCATTTGTCGGTGCTCTTGATGGCCACAAAGACGGTCTGAACACCCTCTGTAAACATCCAACCAGTCTTAGCCATCTGCTGTCAGGATCCTGTGATGGAGAGGTATGTTATAGAACTCGATCTTATAATCATTTAAGGTTTGAAATGCATCTTTTTAACATTTATGAGGGTATGCAACACTGTTCCGTTCAAACATATTCCATGATGTGAGTTAAATGCATCCTCGAAATTCCAAGGTATACAATTGTTTACATTCTCTTACCCAATGAATGCACCATGACAAAATCTGAAGCTCTTGTGAAAGTTAGAAGTAGACTGGCTTGATCCATTGATTGATGTTACATATCAGGAATCACGCATCAGCGTAGCTGTAAAATTGACCATGTTTGAAGTAAGTCTGGCTCCTCTGTCTTCTTCAAGCGACAAATATCTGCCAAGGAATTGGTCAGTTTCTTTTACCCGAAACAATCAAATAGGTTATAGTGTGCCTTTGATTTTGGTCATGATATCTTCAAGGGTGAGATAAGGTAGAGATGAAGTTAACGTTACTCCTCGAATTTTGAGAATGATAGAAATGCCACTTTTAGAGGACTTGACCGTTAGTTAGACTTCTCCTATAATATGATTGTAAATTAAATTTCTATTTCTATACTTATATTTTAGGTTCGTGTGTGGAACTTAGCACACAGACAGTGTGTGAGTTGTGTCCAGGCTCATGATGGCATTGTACAAGGACTTGCCTTTCATCCAAGTGGAAACCGTTTCATAACTGTATGTACCTCGACTTCATTGATTAATCATTGGACACAATTATATAGTAAAGATAAATGCTACTGTTATTGTACATGTATATACATGTATGAACCTTTGGATACCGACTTAATTGATTAATAATATACAACATTTTGATATAGCGCCCTATCTAGCTAACATAAGCCACTCTAAAGTGCTTTACAGTACATAGATATACAATTAATACAATTAGCATATGCATTAATCAATACAATTTTGAGGAATTCGCAGGAGCTGCCTTCTCTCTGAGCTGTAGCAAAGCTCCTTCTAGTCCTATGCAACCTGGCTAATATCTCCTTATGTATGTATGCCTGTGTCGGCGATAATCGAAAATCAATCGATTGTACAACCAAGTCAAATTAACCGATTGATAAATTTCAAATCGATTAATGAATTTAATTGTTGCATGCTGTTTTCTGTTGATATCTGTCAGATTTACTCATAGTCAGATTCTAGTAATAGATTAAAACCAACAGTGTAAAAACATAAAAGACTGACAAATGACAATCTGATTAAAATGATATGTTACATGGCTTCGCTAACTTCGTAATACGCCTACGGAGCCATGTAACAGATGATTTTAATCAGATTGGACAAATGGAAATAAACCAAGTCAGCCTTTGATTTTAAAAAGCAAAATGATGCTCCAAATCCCAATTCGAAGTGGTGTAATTACACATATTTCAAATAGATTTACCAAAATTTGGATGTTCCAATTATAATCGATAATCGTTCATTAAAAAGTTTTCCGATAATCGATTATGATTTCTGCTTCTAATTCCCGACACTAGTTACTATACATACATGTATGAACCTCTGGATACAGACTTAACTGATTAATAATTATAGATAAATGCTACTGTACACATATTGGAGATTTTTTGTACGAGTTATCTCCCTTACATAACAACAAGGGTCCTTTCAGGTACATGTATCCGGCTCAACCAGTTTGTCTGTTTTTAAATGTAACATTTTCGGGTATAAATCCCGGCGGACCTGCAAATGTTTATGCAGGCCTAGCAAGGCTTTGTGAAGGCTCGCCTGAAAGAACCATCAGATTATTCGGTCAAGATCCGCCCTTATTTTATCAACGAACAACTCTGGTCCAACTGGTTTAACTACCTTGAGCTATTTACTTAGGATATATGCTTTCTCACACACTATTCCTGGGGTCTATGTGATGTTTGAGTTTGACTAGATTACTAAAATGTGCAGTACATGTATGCTTAAATTCACAAGCATATCATTCTGCTCTCATCTGATAGAAGTTTCGCTCATTTTTACCTCAGCATATGTGTCTAATGTTATGCATAACTAATTTTGGATTCGATACTGAGTTCATGTTCTACCAAATATTCTCTCAATTTGTTTTAGAACTCCATTCAACCCTGTTTCCTCTGTGCTCCTCCCTGCCGTTCTCTCCCCTACCCCGCTCTTCTGTTCCTTTCTCACCTTTAATATGTGTAATGAAATTATTTGTTTTTAAAACAGTGTGGCAGCGACAAAGTAATCAAACAATGGAGCTTAAGTGCGGAAGGGCAGGTAGAAAAAGAGCCTAAGACCACTATCTTAGGGAAGGTAAGTTAAGACCACTATCTTAGGGAAGGTAAGTTAAGACCCCTATCTTAGGGAAGGTAAGTTAAGGCCACTATCTTAGGGAAGGTAAGTGAAGACCACTATCTTAGGGAAGGTAAGTGAAGACCACTATCTTAGGGAAGGTAAATTAAGACCACCATCTTAGGGAAGGTAAGTTAAGAACACTATCTTAGGGAAGGTAAGTTATGACCACTATCTTAGGGAAGGTAAATTAAGACCACCATCTTAGGGAAGGTAAGTTAAGACCTCTATCTTTCGGAAGGTAAGTCAAGACGACTATCTTAGGGAAGGTGAGTTAAGACCACTATCTTAGGGAAGGTAAGTTAAGACCTCTATCTTTCGGAAGGTAAGTCAAGACGACTATCTTAGGGAAGGTAAGTTAAGACCACTATCTTAGGGAAGGTAAGTTAAGACCACTATCTTAGGGAAGGTAAGTTAAGACCACTATCTTAGGGAAGGTAAGTTAAGACCACTATCTTAGGGAAGGTAAGTTAAGACCACTATCTTAGGGAAGGTAAGTTAAGACCACTCTATTAGGGAAGACAAGTTAAGACCACTATCTTAGGGAAGGGAAGTTAAGACCACTATCTTAGGGAAGGTAAGTTAAGACCTCTATCTTAGGGAAGGTAAGTTAAGACCTCTATCTTTCGGAAGGTAAGTCAAGACCACTATCTTAGGGAAGGTAAGTTAAGACCACTATCTTAGGAAAGGTAAGTTAACAGATAGACAGCTTTATATAGAGTTGACTTTATTCAAGAAAGCTCCATAAGGGAAGTCGACATGCAAATACAGAAAATGTAAATGTATAGTCAAACAATTGGAAGTAATCGAAGGGTAGAAAACCCTGAGATACGAGATATAAGTCAAAGCTAAGTCCTTTCAGGTATAGGTACAGTATTATATATTTTTGTGTGTTCCCTATATAATTTCATGTGTGCTTTCCCTACAATCACTGTATATTTTCCTACAAAATATAAATGAAAACGAAATTTAAATTAGGAGGTTATCACGAATATGTAGCGGAACTAGATTGGGGCATTCGCTGGTGACCAGGTGGCTCAGATTGTGATCCGGTAGCTCAATTGTTAGAGCATCTGTTTAAAATTTGGAGGGTCCTGGGTTCAAATCTTGGTCCAGCCATGCATTTTTTCTCTCCTGTTACAAATACATCGCAGGAGGTTAACTGTTTTGTTTGAATTAATATATAGAAGCTCACAACCATAGAAAAATGTTGTGGTGTTTTCCTAGTTGAAGAGAATTGATACAGATAACATTTGAAAATAAAGAAATACGGGTTATGTCTGAAAATAAAGAAATACGGGTTATGTCTGAAAATAAAGAAATATATAAATGCAGATATCGTACTCTAGGGTTGTGATTGTATGTCTGGAGTGTATCATGTTATACTACAATACTAAAGACATGTATTGCAAGACAGATCACAATATATACGGTCGCAGAAAAAATTGTTGATTTTCTGAAAATATTTTATAGAGTAATATTTCAAAAGGATTTTGTTTTCAAAATACTGAAAAACTGAAACATAGATCATAAGTCATTGGTTGTAGGCTGCAGTTATTGGCAAAATGCAATTAAGGTGATTTTACTGTATTTACGAAAAACTACAGTTGAATTCTGTAAGTGTTTTACCAGCAGTGAGGCATGAATGCTTAACTCCTCAAACAAGTCATCATTTTCCTTTCATCTTACAGACCGTGTTCCAGTCCATCAGCCATCACAATGCCAAAAACATGTTTGCCACCTGTGGAGAACAGGTCGATATCTGGGACTCTAGACGGACAGAGCCCCTTCGCAGCTTTACCTGGGGAGTAGCTAGCCAGCACTACGTCAAGTTCAACCCCATAGAGGTATGGCTTCATACAGATAAGGACTCCTGACATCTGTTGTACATTTCAGAGTGATAGCTGTCAATTATGGATTTTTGTTGAGAGGAAAGTGTGGTTATATCGGCCTAAGAAAGTCATATTGACCGAAATGAAGTTGAGGTCAATACCACTTTTCAGGTTCATATAACATATATTCACCGGAATAAAAGTCCTTAATTGTTATGTTAGATATCAAAATTGTCAAGAAAGAAGTGCTGCATTTGTCAGAGAGCAACACACAGTGACATAATCAAGTAAATATTTACCTGTTATTTCTAAACATAGTAACACTAAGTCAATATCACAAAATACGGATCGCCGCTTAATTACGATCCAACCAATGAGGATGAATGAAAAAATGATATTATTCAATTATAGCCTTTGGCTGAGGTTGATACCTTGATTTATCGACCCGAGAAAAGATATATTGACCGAGGATGCAGTTTGATGTCAATATATCTTTCCTTGGGTCGATAAATCCAGGTATCGACCGAAGTTAAAGGCTACAATTGGTTTATTTTTTTCAAAACAGCAATGTAAGCAATCTGAGAAAAAACCCACAGCAAAATGGCTTCGGAAGCAGGACGGTGCATTGTTTGTAAACACGTCATAATTCTATTTTTAGAAACACCCAGTCCTTCAACAAAAATCAAGAGCTCCAAGTCAATATCAGTTTTTATCAGGCCAATCACTTGTCGAGAATAATATGAAAAAATTATAAACATAATTATGCTGTTTTAATAAGACAAGAAAAAACGTAGAAAATCATCATGGGAAAAGAGCTGCATTTAGCAGAGAGTATTGTGACATTACAATTGAAATGACATCATAAATAGAATATTGACCTGCTGTTTCTAAAAATAGTGATACTGAGTAAATATCACCGATCCCTGACCTCCACCTGATTACGATCTAACCAATGAAGATGTAGGGAAAACTCATCTTATATTGATGCCTGTTGTACATTTCAGAGAGATATATTGGCCAGCTGTGCTTCAGACAGAAGCGTCATCTTGTATGACATGAGAGGATCGTCACCACTCAGGAAGGTCAGACTCAACTTTCAGTATCAGCATTAACTAAAGGGACACCTGACATTATCTTCAGGCCCCAAATCTGCAGATTTCAATTCTGGTTTTTCTGACACACTGACAAATAGACCTCAAAGAAAAGGTTATGATCAACATGAGACTTTTATGAAATTTTGACATGGAATCACATACGTGCCAACTTTTTAAAATTTCCACAGGAAACATTTTGAGTACTTGAATTAAATAAAAATAAGAAATGTGTGCATATGCTGTATAGCGGTTATATTTTTGCAGGGTTTTTAATTTCGCTATATTTGGGCTTCGGCCAATATCCGGAATTCTAAACACCAGCAAAATTATTATAGAAAATGTTAACCACTTTTCCGGACCTTATCACAACATGTTAAAAACACTATAATCCAACGCTGATATGCAAATTATTTAAAATTAACTACATCAAATATAACTCTTGTTTTGAGTTTTCTTTCTCAAAGTGGCATCGCGCATGATAGATTGGTTGCAACGCGGAAATGGTCGGGCGCTGCGATGGAAGGGTTAAAAAGTAGATACACTGAAGCTCACATACGTTATACAATTTTTTAACAATAACATGGCATACAAAGGAGGATGAGGTAGCTATACCTTTACAACATATATGAACATACATATTTAACTCATTCACCCCTGAAATTTCATAATGAACCATTCAAACCTATGAATTAGCGGTTCAAATGTGTCTTCAGGAGTGAATGAGTTAATAGTGGAGATGTTATATTCCAGACTAAGAAAACAGACATTTACAATTACTGTTTGTGTTCTAAACAAACATAACATTGAAAATTTAAACTTATTGCCAATTATGGATCAGTTTTGTGCAATATTTTTTTTCCTTTTCCTATTTTTTCCCACAAAACAATTGAGTGCGGAGAGTAGTGCCATACTGAGACAGTTCAGTAGGATACATGTTACTGTAATCAATAGTTATATTATTATTGGTATCTAACTTAGCTGTTTTAAATGTCGCAGTTCTTCGAGTGAATTGACTGTGGTATTAGACACAAGAGTATAATTTATTCACCATAAGTTTTTTGATTGTGCATATTTTCCCTTGATTGACTATTAAAACTGTACACTATAACCACATATCTGTTTTACTTCAGGTGATACTCAAGCTGAGCTCCAATGCAATCGCATGGAACCCGATGGAGGCTTTCGTCTTCACTGTGGCTAATGAGGACTACAAGTAGGTGTCATGTACTAAAAACTATTCTATTTCCACATTCTACTTCATGGAGTTTCTTAGGCAGTGTCCATTCTCAATAAAATCCAATATCATAAGCTGTTTCGGAATTATGGTGTTTAATTTCCTTGCAAAGTTCCTGGATCCAACCTTGTTAGTTATTTTTAAAATACCTCATGGAAACAGTAAAACTAAAGCACAAGTTACTAATCCGTGCACACAAGTTAGTAATCCATGCACACAAGTTAGTAATCCATGCACACGACTTAGTAATCCATGAACATGAGTTAGTAATCCGTGCACAGAAGTAAGTAATCCGTGCACACAAGCTAGGAATCCGTGCACACAAGTTAGTAATCCATGCACACAAGTTAGTAATCCGTGCACACAAGTAAGTAATCCATGCACACAAGTAAGTAATCCATGCACACAAGTTACTTATCCTTGTGCAGGAGTTAATTATCTGTGCATATGATTTACCAATCCATGCACACGAGGAAGTAGGCTGTGTGTACTAGTTTATAGGAGTTATTAATCTGTTCTTATTATTTATCTCAAGGAAAACTGTTGTGAGTTGACAGTTAGTCGGATGGGAGCTAAGTTTTTGGTAAATGCTGACCGTCTGATAAAAAGCCTGTCTTTTCAAATGTGGTACATACGTTATCTTCATATGAGGTGACTGCAGTTCATGTCGATTTGATCGTCATTGCGTATATTTATAACACCCACCATCGTAAGTGTATAAGCAATTAAATTGCCATCTCTCACATTGTAGTGAACATACGCTTTACAGATTGTTGGCCTGAGGAAGGCGACAAGAGTACATATACTATTCTCCCACCCTTCACAGGTGTGTCTCCTGTTTTAGCCAGGAAAGATCAGCTTGTCACCCCCTAGGGGGAGATAGCCTCGTCACCACCTAGGGGGAGATAGCCTCATGCTGATTAGCACATGTTCAATTGTGACGTCATTAAAATGCTTCATCAGTAATTGTGACGTCATCAAAAGTGAATGACGTTATGCATACCCCACTTGTGTTTTTGTTTACAAACATTGCAGACTACTGTCGGTGGAGCAGTGACTGAAATAATTGGATGGGAGAAAAATCATCATCTCCTACCTTGAGGGTGTAACAGAGAAATCTCCAACCCTCGGGGTGATTTTTTTGGTTGTCTAACACTGGGCAGAGCCTCGGGTTAGACAACCAAAAAACATCAACCCTCGGGTTGGAGATTTCTCTGTCACACCCTCAAGGTAGGGGAAGATTCTATTAATCACTGAAACATATCAACCATTTCTTGGTCCCAATGACGTCTCCTTTGTTGACCAGCTGTTAAGCATGTAATAATAATAACATTGAAATGGTACACGTAAGAATTTCACTGGTTGTGCTATATGAGCCTGTATAAAGTCTATATTTATACCCACCTAAAGAAAATGTGAAGAAACTATATGTTATGCTTGTGTGATTACAGTCTCTACACATTTGACATGAGGAATCTGTCCGTACCCATGAATATCCACATGGATCACGTTGCTGCTGGTAAGATATTTATTGACTGCTTACTGTATTGTTGTTAAATTTTGTGGGGTTCAAATTTCGCGATTTTGTGTCTGGAACTTATTCACAGGGGTTTAATAGAGGTGTTCATATTCTTGTTGCTACTAGCATCGAACAACCTGACGATCTCAAAATATTCATAAGGGTTTGAATTTCACAAATTTTAACACATTCGCAAAATTTGTGAAATTCAAACCCTCATGTTAAATGAATAATTTATCACGAGATCATTTTAATATTATCTTTAAATACCTAGTATAGTTGTCTTTTTGTACAGTAGTTAGCTGTGCATATTTGTTTGGGATTTTAGAAATTTGTTTCAATATTGCCTGGTCTAGCTTGCTACTACTGTACACCGGCAAACAATTTTACTTTCGCCTTTTTCGCTCTCCCCAAAGAGGGCGAATTTATCATGACAGCGAATATATTACAGCACAACATACATTATATAGTAATGACATATTAACTCATTCACCCCTGGAATTTCATAATAAACCTTTCCAGCCTTTGAATTGGAAGAGTTCAAATGTGTCTTCAGGGGTGAATGAGTTAAGGGTGAAATAGACATAAGGTGAACATGGATTTTATCGGCAAAGGTCAAATATTTGACTGGGCGAACGTTTCCTGGTATACAGTATATATGGAATATCACACATCATAGGAAATAACTTCATAGAAAACCTGGTCAATGAAATAAATGATTCCCATAGACATAGGGGAGGGGGGGGGGCACGGTAGCCAAGTTGTTAGCACGTCTGACTGTCTATAATCACTAGCACTCCACCACTGGGTCATGAGTTTGAGGCCTACATGGGGCAGTTGCTAGACACTGGCCACAGGTTGGTCTTTTTTCTCACGTAACTCTGGTTTTTCCTCCACCACTAAAGCCAGCCTTGTCCTTATATGTTAGGACCACAGCTGTTAAATATAATGGGAGGTAGAGCACTGATTTGTATGATATGTATGTTAATCATATGTGTTGGTTGATGCAGTAATGGACGTGGACTATAGTCCTACAGGCAAGGAGTTTGTCAGCGGCAGTTATGACAAATGTCTTCGAATCTTTCCTGTCAACAAAGGTCACAGCAGGTGAGTGGTCATTATACAGTAGTCCCTCTGGTATACCGCCCCCCGGTTCTATTGCCAACCCCACATATATCTTACGGCACGGGACCAAACTGCCAATATGTTCAACTTGGATAATAATAATTTGAGGATCTTATATACCGTTCCATCACAACCTAGTTCGTAGGTCATCTCAAAGCTGTTCACAGATTATTATCCCTGGTTAAAGGGACTTTGCTACCAGCCAACATCTTTCTCAACTCCCTGGAGAGCATACAGCCGGTGCTGGCATTTCGGTGCCCACAGCTAGCATTCAACAATTCTAGCACTGCCCAACCACATACTCATTTACAGCTGGGTAGACTGGAATAAGCAGAGTAAAGTATCTTGCTCAAAGATACAACACAGTCCTACCGCTGACTACAGCGCCTCCTAGATAATGTGGAGACCTGCACTTACAATATTTCTTAATTCACAGTACCTGCCTATATACCATATACATAATGCTTATTCATGTAGATTTTGCTGAAAACGGGTCATTCTATTTTCTTTATCCATTTCTAATGCTTTGACTTTACTCTTATCTAATAAATTTAAAACCTTAACATGCACATTGCTGACAAATTATGCTTATGTGGGGTTAAATGACAAAAATGACGAAACACTGATCAGCGCAGCCTTCCAACTTCTAGGATGTGACTCTTCGGGTCTGTTCATTTATGCTGAAAAACCGGTTTCTCTGTTTTTTAATGTAACATTTTCGGGTATAAATCCTGGCAGACCTGCAAATGTTCCTGAGGCCTTGCAAGGGTTTGTAAAGGCTCGTCTGAAAGCAGCATCAGATTACGAGGTCTGACCATATTTCATAAACAAACAACACTTGTCCAACCGTTGGGATCGCGATAAATGAAAGCGGTCCAAAATAAAAATGTCTGATATTTTCGCCCATGGAAATTTAACATATTAAATATGCTCTTATTCCCGTATTAACTTACAGTATTTAAATACATTGAAATACAGTCGTAGTATTTTAAATGATGAAATTTAATATGTCTGTACTAAACTAAAATTTGAAAAGAAACTATGATTAGATATTGTGAATCGAATGTACAAAATGTACTTTTCTATGATCTGTTATTTTTCACGAAAGATGTTTTAAATGTTACAGAGAGATCTACCACACAAAAAGGATGCAGAAAGTACGAACGGTACAGTGGACTTTGGATAGTAAATTTATTCTGTCTGGCTCCGACGAAATGAACATTCGTATCTGGAAGGCCCGGGCTCAGGAAAAACTGGGAGTGGTAAGTCTGTGTTTGATCATCTCAACTGAAGTTTATGTGAGATAAATACTATAGTGCAGCATCCTACATGCCCCTGGGTTTTCTTCAGGTGCCCCAGTTTCCATTCACCTGAGGACCCACCCCCCTGCAAGCTTCCAATGCCACCAAAAGTGATGAATACAAGTTGAAAAAACTGGTTTGATAAATGTTGTAAATTAAATAAAGTTGATAATCCTCGGTCAGCAGTCTTATTTCTTGATCATCTCATAACCTAGGACGATCTTATTAATTCAGTAGGTCCATGAAGAACTTTGAAATTTGTTAACAGATGAAATATCTTGACTCACTTAATCACACTAGTTGCTGCCTATGAATTTCTTTGTAACTTCATTTTAGCTCAATTGTTCAAAGCTTAATTATATTAATAACAAGCGTAAAATAAAACAAAAAAATCCGATTATGCAATATATAAGCCTTAAATCAATAGATGGGTGAATTCAAAGCAGGAAAAAAGAAGCTGGTAAGCACACAGGCCCAACTGGTATCTCAGTGTTTATACTGTAAAAGAACTCATGTTAGTGCACTGAAATTTTAGTGCTTTATTGAATTTGACACACCCACAAAATGTGTAACAATGTAACAGGGCTTCCATTTGCACATTCATAATTTAGTGTAAAATATGAAGCACTAAAATAAGGCTACTGCTAAAATATGAATGTTAACAGTATGTAGTTAAATGAGTTTTTGTCCTTATAACTGATATTTTGTATCGTTTTACAGTTACGACCTCGTGAAAAAACGGCATTGGAGTACGGTGAGAAGTTAAAAGAAAAGTTTGCAGACCATCCCATGGTGAAGAGAATCACAAGACATAGACACATACCACACACAGTATACCAGTCCTCCAAGGAACACAGAATAATGAAAGACTCGCAGAGACGCAAGTATGTATCATATATAGATATCATATACAGTATGCAATATATGTTCTTTACAAAATACTGTACTGTTAAATCATAAATTTTCGTGGGACATTAAAATTTCGTTTATTTCGTGGATAACAAAAGTCTCCTAAATTAAATCCCCTCGCAAATATAAATTTGGTATAATATAGAAAGGGGAAAATCAGAAATCATCGAAATATAATGTCCTTGAAACAGGCTTGTATATGAAAAACACGAAATTTTAACCCCACGAAAATAAATGATTCTACAATATATGCAGAAATTTTTCGCCACAGTTTAACTTTTGCAATTTTACCCCTCCATAATGAGGGTGAATTGTATCGTTGGAGTTAACATCAGTAAACAACATAATAGTGAAGGGTGAAGTTAACACTGGGTGAATACGGATTTTACCTGTATGGGGCAAGTTTGAAGGGGTGGAACTTTCCAGGTATACAGTATTGAATCAATCTTCAAATGCATTCATGACATTGAAGCATTGTTCGTCAAGTGTATTTGTCGAGTGAAGTTCGTAAGAAATGCCTGATGCATGTGACATTTCACTTGTAGAACATTATCTGTGATGCCACAGTGAAGATAATATCTTCCCGCCATTAGATGACATGTTTTGCCTCATTTCCTTATGTAATACATAGAGGTTCCCCAATGAGTTCTGGTTGGTTATCATGTTTATTGTCTCACCACGTCGCACTAGCAGAAGCGAGACAAAGGTGTTGCTTTTCCGGTGGCAGCGGCAACATTAAGTTTGTGCGTTTAACTTAGTGTCACTGAAAGTATAAGTGCTAGACCAACCAAAATTGCGGCCTACCTTTTACGGTCCATTGACTTTGTCAGCATCTCCATCAACATTAAATGTTCGTGTTTAAGTTAGTTTCTCTGAAAGTATAAGTGCTAGACCAACCAAACTTGCACCATAGATGCAGCTTAGGTAGTACATCTCAACCCATGCATTATATGCTGGATGCGGCCTACCTTATATAGTCCATTGACTTTGTCAGCATCTCCATCAACATTAAATTTTCGTGTTTAAGTTAGTTTCTCTGAAAGTATAAGTGCTAGACCAACCAAACTTGAACCATAAATGCATCTTAAGTAGTACATCTCAACCCATGCATTAAATGCTGGATGTGGCCTACCTTTCATGGTCCATTGACTTTGTCAGCATCTCCATCAACATTGAGTTTTGCGTTTAAGTTAGTTTCTCTGAAACTATAAGTTCTCCAATATTAAGTGAAAGTATATATGCAGTATACAGTCAAAGTGGGGCACAGATTAGACATATCAATTCAAATGGCTTGTTTGAATCTGGCAGTTTAAAAACATACTCTAGAAATACAAGGGTCCTTTTTCTGATCGGTATATCAACTGCCATGGATAATGAAGTCACAACGAAAAATGCCAGCGCAAAGCATTATTATGTAATTGGTAAGACTGGCCAATGAAATCACAAACAAGGTGAAACTAGTGAATAACCAACTCCTAGTAGGTATATCAAATAAGTCAGGAGTAAGGAGGCAGTTTTGGGGGAAATCATTTCATAAATGAAAATTGAGGATTACGAAATTCAATCATCTTGGTTATGAACTGAGAGGACCATCTGCAATTAAATGACATCTCCTTCTGAGAAATTTTCCCTCTGTATTTGAAACAGTCACTTGGTCCTTATATAAACATATATATATATCTATAAAAAAAAAAGAAAAAAAAGACAGAGATAGCGTCTCTAGGCCTTTCTCGGGTTGATTCCCCGTTCATCAGGAGACTGTTTATTTTGAAAACAGGCATTGTGAGGTCATAGTTGTTTACACAAGAAAGTATGACGTCATTAATAATACAAAGTCATTATGACGTCACAGAAGGGATACCCATAAATCCATGACGTCAACAACAATACAAGCTTAATTGTGACGTCACAATACTTAGACAATTCCATAACTTTATTATCTTACCAATATACTGTAAAATAACTTATTTTAGGGGACTCAAATTTTAGTGAATTATCAAATTTTAACAAATTAGTGCATTGACTAATTGGTACACACACATTGTATTCAATAAACTCAATGAAGTAAGCGAAGGAGCATCAACACCACGGATGCCATTACGGTAGACGTTTTATTGTCGACATGTTTCTGTAGGCTAGGCCTACCGTCATCAGAACAATTTTACATTGTAGAGCTAAGGTGCAAATTATCAGACCAGCGCCGAAGGATGTTGGATCTCTTTTTCTGGATAATTGTGTTGATTTACCAGCATTTTGATTCCACTTTTTCATATATTCAATAGAAAGTCGCATACAGGGACTGAAGTTAGCGTGATCATAATTTAGCTTACTATTCAAAGTGTAAAAATTGCTTAACTTTGAATACTGCTAAAAAAATGTGTGTTTACAGTGTTTCTTGTTTTAGGTAAAATTGTTACGTAATAACTGTATTTGGTTTTGTAGGGAGTCTAATCGCCAAGCACACAGCAAACCTGGGGAGAGGCCAAACGTACCGGAACGCAAGAAACAAGTGCTTGGACAAATTGAGTGAAGTGGGGAAGCTCATTTGTTGGCCGCACTGCAGCATCACCTCCTTCTACATTTTCTTGACAACAGTGAATTGATATCGGACGCTATAGGAGATGGCAGATTATTTTAATTAAAAAAGAAATTGATACAAATGTTTCTTTTAGAGTAATAACGTGGCCATGTATCAGTAAGAGGCTTTTGAAGTTGGGTGTAGTTCCTCCGTTATCTTCAAAGGACAGGTATTGGCCAAGTCATTGGTCAGGTTTTTGTATCTGGACCAATCATATTCCGTCTTTGCGTATTGCAGAGTTATCTTCTCTTGTGAGCAGGTATTGATTGTTACGTCATTGGTTTGTGATAGTAACGTCATCAATTTTTGAGAAAACGACGTAATTTTCTCACACAAACCAATGATGTAACAATCAATACCTGCTCACAAGAGAAGATAACTCTGCAATACGCAAAGACAGAATAGCTTTCTGTAAACTTGGGAAACTGTAAGTAAGAGTACCTAATGCTTATTACGCGGAGCTGGATCGTCTGTGTAAATTCGCCTACGTTTCATTGAAAAGGAAATCAACATGTTTTGAAGGAAGTTGGCGAGATTAAAGTCGATCAAATATAAATTGACAACCATGTATTGATATTGGATGTATGGGAGAGGGAAGATTATTTTCATTGAAAAGGAAATCAACATCTTTTAAAGGAAGTTGGCAAAATTAAAGTCATTCAAATTGTATTTGTGTTCTTTGTTATATTTTCATATCATTTGTCAATACTTCATGGAAGGTTTGTTACAAAATTATGTCAACAAATTATGTTACTTTATGAAATGATCAGATATCCAAAAACGTAACATCAGTTCAATATGAATGGACAAATCATAGAAGAAAATAGAACTGTGAGCCAAAAGCTAAGTAAGGCAAAATATTGCAAACCAATCTATAGTCCCTCACCAATCAGGAAGAGTTGTCTGGACAAGTTTTTTTCAACAAAGGGCCATAACTCCATAAAAAGGGTCAGAATGAAAAATAATACCTGGGTGCATAATTTCAGGTGGTAGTTATCAAATCTGGAAACTTTGGTTGAAATCAGTCCATAACTTCAGAAAGAGTTGTTGGGACAAACATTTTCTACGGACAGACAAACTGATTCCAGTATACCCCCTAACTTCGGTGCAGGGGGTATAAAAACATATTTTAAGGAGAGAAGTATCAATCCAGGATCCATTTTTCCCGATGAAGACCGTCTTATCTCACTTTAAATATTTGTCAACCAGTTCAGGAACAGCACTCTAGCAAATTCATTTTCTTACGGATTTTGAGAAAATTTGTACTAAGGTTGAGTAAAAGAATACCGAGAAGGAGTATATTTTTCAGTTTTCCAAGGTCGAGCGGTTAACACTCTGGCCCTCCATGCAGGCGGCCGGGGTTCGATTCCCGAATTTGTCGTACTCATGGATATTCAGAGAAAGTGTTTTTCTCCTGCCCATACAACTCCAAAAACCTAGGTGGAGTATAAATTGGTCTGGGGAGGATGTTGGGGTATCTGTGCTGTAGCATTCAAGTGAAGTGGCACAATAAATGATGCCATTGGAAGCACAGTCCCACTACAAACAGAACACACTACATCTCCAGCACACACCCAGGGAGATATTAGCCAGGAGGCATAGGACAAGTAGTGATAAGGCAGCTCCTGCGAATTCCTCAAAATTGTATTGATTAATGTATATGCTAATAGTATTATTCGTATATCTATGTACTGTAACGCGCTTTAGAGTGGCTTATGTTAGCTAGATAGGGTGCTTTATCCAATGTATACTATTTATTATTAAAGGCAAAGAAGATATGTGTAATGAGATTCGAAGAAGGGGACCCTTGGACTCTGATGCCGAGATGAACAACAGCTGTGTACCGGGTGGCAAATTCAATTCATAACGAAATATATGAAACAGATGGGCTCACATGAATACTGTCAACGTACATATTTAACCAGTATTCTAATTTCAACTGTTTTTGCGCCTTAAATAAATTTATTATACTAAATTATGTTGCACTAATTGAATTTCTATATATAGCTTTCTATTGAATATATTCTAAATGCGCCTTTTCATCAATTAGCTAATATATCCAAATTCGCAGTAGTTTTTCTAATGCTGTTAAATGATGACAAACATTTCTAATTACTTTACATTAAATATATTTCATATAGCAATAATAAGTACACACATATATGGACAAAACAATAGTTCTCATTCTTCATTAATTAAGGACGTTATTGAAGCGTAAACATGTAGATGAAATTCAGAATTCACGATTTACAATAATTTGGCCTGGTATGTTTAGTATAGTTAACTATATGGTATTTTCATTCTTTACTTCTGGAGCACTAAATTTGGTATAGTATTTCTTGTTTAATACTGTAGAATCCATTGGATGACTATACAAATACAGAACTAGCATGATATAGTAGAAAATTGAAAACAACAACTCCTAGAAAATATTTGTCAATTTACCTGTGGTGCATTCAATAAAATCAAAACTAGAGATTTGTTTTTGTGAACAAAGTGTCTCCCCTTTAACAGTTTAAAAGATACGGCCCGGAAAAGATATTCCTGTGAACAATTATTTGACCTTTGACCTCCAGGTCAAGGTCAGTGACCTAACGACAGAGCACTGTATATCGTCTGTTGGCGATGTAGATATACTGCAAGTTTTATCATATCTTTAACTTTGCACTTATTTGACCTTGTTATTAGAGGACCTGCTTACTGCTTTATTATAAAATGCATATATGTACAAGTTCTAATTGTAATGAGGACAATCACAGAAGTCCTCAAAATTGACTGTATAGTCACAAATGATGCTTGGATAGAGTTTACAATGCCATCATATACTGGCATACTAAGTTTAAGCAAAATCGGACACAACAAGGGACTGTTGGCATCACCTTTGCGTACACTTTGACCTTGAGTTAAAGGCTATCTTGCCCTAATGACACTGCATTGCAAATCATCTGTAGGTGATGCAGTTAAACTGTTTCATCAAGATATCTTAAACAGTTTAATAGTTACAGCCCGTACAAGATGTTCCTGAAAAATATGCACTTATTTGACCTTGGTTCAAGGTCACAATGACCTTATGACAGTGCACTGCACATCTTCTATGGGTAATGCAGGTATACTGCAAGTTTCATCAAGATATCTTTAGTTGTTACAGCCTGGACAAGATGTTCCTGAACAATTTGCACCGATTTGACCTTTGACCTCGGGATCAAGGTCACAATGACCTAATGACAGTGCACTACACACCTTCTACTGGTAATGCAGGTACACTTCAAGTTTCATCAAGATATCTTTAAAGGTTTAAAAGTTACGGCCTGGACTAGATCATATTAGAAGAACCAGTACCACTACAAGATGTCTACCTTCATTCAAAGGCGAGACATAATAACTTGTAAATAAGTAAATGTGAATGCCATCAATATGCAATGAATTGTGTTTAAAATACAAAGTAAGAAATTAAAATAATCTGTGTATTCATAGACCCTGCAGGTAGGGCGTAAGAATTGTACCTGCTGCCCCCAATTGCATGATCGTAAGAGGCGACTAAATTTGAAACCTTTTCTCTTCTTTCCTTTCTAAATAACTTTCTTCTTCCTAATGCCTCCCTTGACAATGCCTCACTTTTGGCCATTTGTTGAGCGTTCGCCCCTGTGAGGAAGGCTTTTGGTTCTGTCCCCTGGCCGAGACATACCAAAGTCTTTAAAAATGGAAGTTTCTACTCCTGCTTAACGCTCAGCAAATTAGGAGTGGGACGACTGGTTCGCCCATTGTCAGTATAATGTGACCGGGTGGGGCGTCCTGCTGGGTGTCTCTACGGCAGTATGTTTCAGTGAGGTAGCACTACAAAGTCGGCATCAGTTCCGCGCTATCACAAGGAGACAAACACGAACATATCGCAGCCTCCCAAAATACACACACATACACTACACGCATGCATCCTGCATACAGGGGAGGCCGTCCTTAAATAACCTTAGCTGTTAATAGGACGTTAAACAAAATCAAACAAAGTATTCATAGAAAGACTTCTATATAGTATCACAATCAAGGACAGTGTGGAACTCTGCACACACACTTCAAGCTTTTCAAGCTTTTTGATTGGTTATTGTTTGTTTTGGTTTTGTTTTCTGCATTGTCATTGGTTTAAATCTGAGGAATGCTATTTTTTCTTGAAAAAAATATTTTGATAATTCTCACTGCAGTAAAAAATAATACTTGTATGTAAAAGAATAACTTGATACTTTACTGGCAAATCTGTAATAAAAATAAAATAAATAATAATAAAAGTCATTCCTTATGTCTGTATTCAGTATTTTGGTCTGTTTTATATCCCAAAAAATCTTATGCTTTCACAAGTGAAAATCTCCCTTTTGATATTTCTCAATGCAGCGAAAAAATTACACTTCTATTCAATGAATAATTTTTATATTTCACAAGTAAAACTGAAAATTTTAATTTTATAAATTAAAGTTCTTTGGTCTGCATTTTCTACACTTTCCAAATCCTAAATTGAAATACTCTTCTTTTGATAAATAGATCGACAAACGGGGCAAGCGTGGTGGCCATCTTGTAAAGATAGTTCCTCAAAAGTTTGTAAGCACTGCTCATGAAAGACGTGAGAACAAGATAGCAGAACTGTCTTTCTCTTTTTAGTTGTTCCAGATTCATGTACTTCTTTTTCCTCTCTCTTTAAAGATTTCGGCCTAACAGCACCTAGGGAAGCTTGTTTACTTGCGGCGGTTTTGTTTCTGTTTGATGGGGTCTGCTTAGTGTTTGAAATTGTAGTTTTTTCTTTCGCAGACCCCGAGCGTTTGTCTGAACAGGATGGATGTATGTAGGTCTGTGATACTAAACTTGTCAAACAAATTGGGCAGTCTTGAGTCTCTCGTTGTACCGCCTGCAAAAAAAATAGTTGTACCAATCATGAGTAAAAACACAAATTTATTCACATATTGAAGTCTCTTTGGTCACTGAAACATTAAAAGAAACAAAGCTCCGTCAGTTGTAATTAAAATTTTACTATTTTCTTTCATTATCTTGCAAAAGTTTAACATATGGCATAATTGTGAAATTTACAGTATCCCATTCACTATCATGTGCCATGTGACGTGTTACAACTACATCTTTGATAATGACAAGAGGCCCAGAGGGCCTGTATCGCTCATCTGGATATCTAAGCAATCATGGCAAAATTTGCTCCAAATGAGATCCAAGGGAATATGCCAAACCCGAAGGCCAATCCTTGTAGCATATCTGTATTAGATTTTTCATGCCCAGCACTTTTACGTATGGTTATGGGGTGGGGATCTCAACTGTTTCCAAGCTTTGACTCAGAAACTAGGTCCCTAGGGTTTTGGCTAGACCCCAGGATCAATTCTAATATCATGACTGCATTTGTCTCTTTTTGCCCAGCATTTGTATATATAGTTTTGGGGTGGGGATCTCAACCCTTTCAAAGTTATGACCCAGGGGTTAAGTCTGCAAGGGTGGGGCAGACCCTGGGGTCGATTCTAATATCATGACTGCATTCGTCTCTTTATGCCATGCAACAATTGTATGTATAGTTTTAGGGTGGAGATCTTAACCATTTTCAGGTTAAGTATCCAAGGGTGGGGTAGTCCCCAAGGCCATCCTGGAAGCATATGTGCATTCATCTCTTTATACTCAGCAATTGTATATATGGTTATAGGGTGGTGATCTCAACTGTTTCCAAGCTGTGACTAAGAAACTAGGTCCCTAGGGGTTCGGTCAGACCCCAGGGTCTATTCTAATATCATGACTGCATTCGTCTCTTTATGCCCAGCATTTGTATATATAGTTTTGGGGTGGGGATCTCAACCGTTTTAAAGTTATGGCCCAGGGACTATGTCTCCAAGGGTGGGGCCAGACCCTAGGGCCATCCTGGAAGCAAATGTGCATTCTTCTCTTTATACTCAGCAATTGTATATATGGTTATATGGTGGGGATCTCAACCATTTCCAAGTAATAAAACTTATTTTGGCCCCACCCCTTAGCCCGGGGGGTCAGTCCCACTATTTGTACAATTTTGAATCCCTGTCTCCCATGAATGCTTCCGACCAAATATGATCGATATCCATGGCATAGTTCTACAGAAGAAGTCGTTTATAGCAATATAGCCAAATTGCCCC